GTCTTGTGTTCCCGTCCTCGACAAAACGTGAATTCAGGCACTTTCACGTTGTAGTCGGGCAACGACGGCAAAGAAATGTACAAAAAAAGCGTGATGCACGTGCAAAGTTGTTGTTTTGCTAATCAAACCTATTGCTTTTTTTGCCGTTCTCGTCGCCGTTCGCGTCGTCGTTGCTTAAGCTCCCTATTAAAACGTAGAGAAGTCGTAGAATAGCCACGTAGACGTTCTTTACCCGGTGATAGCCGCTATCGTAAGGTCTGCTGCGAATGAAAGGTTGCGACGGTTTCCAACCAATAATATTGCTTTTTTTTAAAACGAAAGGAATTGTAAATAGTGTTTTGACGGAATAGTTTTTGTGTTTCAATATCCACCTGTCACTGCCTGCTATTTTGCATTTGAATAATACACTTATTTCAGCTGCGGAGTTTTAGAAAGATACAAAACAAAAGAGTTAAAACTAGATTTTGCTGAGTAGTGCAGAATTACTTCACTAGTCGAAGTCGTTTTCGATCAGTTCAAGTTCCTGTCAAATATTATGTACAGATTACTGCTGTGACAGTAGAGCTAGAGAAGTATAAAAGAAACTAACTTGAGTAAACTAGATTGCAAGCACTCTCTCTTTTTTTTCGCGCGAAGCGAGGGCTGCGTTTCTCTCGACGGACTGAGAAAAAGAGAAAAGAGGTGCCTTTCCCTAAAGACAAATTAGCCTCCTACTTGACCAAAAGACAAATGATAATTATGTTTGGCATTGGTAATAAGTGGGAGTTACTAAAATGGGAAACGTGGAATAAGCACGAGGAAAGGGAAATTGAAAAATGGGATCAACAAAACCTAACTTGAACCCTAGCCCTATTAGCACTGTTTTCCAATTCTCTGTTTTGTTCACTGTACTCGTTCCCCGTTCCCTGTTTTAGTAACATCCGCAATAGCCACCCCTGCTTCCTTTTATGTATGTTGTAGTTCAATTTTATCTTTGGTTTAAATTTTGTTTTCTTTTGTTTAAAACTGACTAACATGACATTACCATATCCGAAACAAAAGAACTGAATTACACCAAGGATGAACCACAACATCTACGGAAACTCAACAGTTTGGTATTGTCACAACATGTGACACTCTCAAGTCCAATTTTAAAACTTTCAATTCTTCTCTTTTCACGAAGCATGTCCTACTTATGCTAAAATTTTAGAATTCCATAATCTTTTCTGCACTTGAAAGTTTTCATCGATATAAATTCACCGTAAAGGTTCCATGATCTACGCGTACACCCGATCGGCACCACGACAACATGGCTCCTAGGTTTAGTTCTTAGATCACATGTACGCAAGAAATTTCTCATAGATTAGGATGAAGCTCGTCATACTTCTTTGTTATTTAACTTACTGACCAATAAATTGTGGATAGCGGTATAGTGGAGACTCACATCAGCGATCACTTTTTAGTTTTTGCTGCGTTACATCTAAGGATGCCCAAGCCACCGGCTGCTTATGTTGTCGCTAGGAGCTATAAGTACTACGATCCTCAGAGCTTTTTGAGCGACCTTAACAAGATCCCTTGGTATGAAAGCATTTTGTCTGACGATGTAAATGAGAAAGTGCTTCATTTCAATAAAGCCTTTTTCCGGGTTCTGGATAATCATGCACCTATTTAGCAAATTAAAATCAAACATCGGAGATGTCCATTTATAAATGAAGAGATCAAAGAGAAAATGGCAAAAAGAGATCAAGCTCATAAAATCGCGCGAGAGACGGTTGCGGCTTGTGGATTGGCAGTATTATCGGGACTGTCGCAATGACGTTAAGAGGGTATTACGCGAAGCGGAGAAGGAGTATGTCCAGAATGAGGTTAAAACGAATCAGAGCTCTAGTGAACAGTGGAAGGTGATACGAAATTGCATACCAACTAGGGAGAAGTCGCGCCCAGCTTATTCTAGGGATATGAAAGAACTTGCGACGGAATTCAATGAATTCTTTACGGAGGTGGGAGTACGTGCCGCAGAGGAAGCCAAAAGACTCGCATCAGTCAATGGTCTAACTACTTTACATCAAGAACTCCCTGTCAGTTTTGTACCCGAAAAAGATGAGTTTCGATTTCGGGCTGCTACCTCTTTCGAGATCAATAGGATTGTACAGTCATTTCCTTCAAATAAAGCACCAGGGAAAGATAAATTACACATGGCAGTGGTGAAAGATGCTCTACCGGCTATCCTCCCGATTTTGACCGAGATCATAAACAGTTCACTTTTGACATCTGTATTTCCCTCATCATGGAAAGAATCTGAAATTGTTCCAATTCTAAAGGATGGTGGAGATCCGGAAGTAGCCAACGGGAATAGACCTGTGTCGTTGTTACCTGCCCTTTCTAAGATATGTGAACGAGTAGCCTTAAATCAATTCACCGAAGATGCAATAAGGAGAAACTGTCTCAGTGGACACCAGAGTGGGAATAAGAAAAGACATTCGACAGAAACACTCAATATTTTGATGTCAGATTTAGCCTTGGAGGCAATGGACCGCAAGCAAGTCACTGCCTTGGTGTTATTAGATCTTTCCAAGGCATTTGACAGCATTGATCACATGTCCTTGTTAAAGAAGCTACGTGCAATGGGTACCTCTAAAGAAGCAATAGAATGGTTTAGAAGCTACTTGACCGCAAGAAAACAGTCGGTGAGAATCGGTTGCGAAACATCTGAACCCGGCCTAGTCTCGTATGGTGTACCACAAGGATCAATTTTGGGCCCAGCATTGTTTAATATCTACATCAACGATCTACCATCTGTACCTAAGGTAGGGTCGTTAGAGTGCTATGTTGATGACTCTCAGTTATACCTCTCATTTCCTGTGCGCGATGCCACCTTAGCCGCAGCTCAGCTGACAGAAGATCTTAGGAACATAGCCACATGGTGTTGTAAAAACAGTCTACTCGTTAACCCGGAAAAAACAAAACTTCTGGTTCTGGGGACTCCGCACTTGCTGATGAAGATACCAGATGATCTAAGCATTACACTACTCAGCAAGGAGATTACATCATCGAAGTCTGCGAAAAACCTGGGGGTTACAATGAACTGTAATTTAACGTACGACGAACATATGACTCAATTAACTTCGAAATGTATAGGTAGCCTTTGTCAAATAAATCGCGTAAAATACCTGTTTGATAGGCGTACGTTGATCACTATAATTAATTCTCTCGTATTCAGTAAATTATTGTATTGTTCATCAGTATGGGCTAATACCACCAAGAAAAACATCGAGCTATTACAGAGAGTGCAAAATTTTGCAGCCCGGATAGTTTCTGGAACGAGGAAATTTGATCATGTTACACCTATTCTTAAGCAGTTACAGTGGCTGCCAATTGTTAAACAACTTGAGGTTAGGGATGCTACCATGGTATTTAAATGCTTAAATGGACTTGCACCTCCATATTTTTGTCAGAAGTTTAAAACCAGATCGGAAGTGTACAACTGCAACACTAGGAATACGGACCGCCTGCATATACCATTCTGTAGGACGGCTGCAGGTCAGCGCGCGTTTACTTTCAGAGGCCAAAGGCTGTGGAGTAGTCTCCTAGAGAAGTTTCAGTCTATCACACATTTAGATGTATTTAAGGTTAAAATAAAACAGCATTTTTTAAGGGTATTTTTGGAAAACTAAGTTTTAGATATTTGAAATTGTAAATTAAGCTGAAAAGCCTTTTTGAGGAGATTAATAAAGTTATTATTATTATAAAAACGACCCAATTCATAATGAAAAAAAAAGAAACAAAACAAAAAATCAAAAGACTGTGCTCGTTCAGGGAGCTTCAAACATACAGTGAAGCACCTTGTTTTCATGTTTGATTTTTGTAGCTTTCATAGCCAGTACCCTTTACTACAATTTACTTTCCGTTAATTGCTTGTCGCCGGTCTCGCACCAACAGGAGCGCCAGCCAGACCCAGGAATCCAGGGGAGCCCGGGCTTAGGGGGTTCTACACCCTATGCATGTGGTTTTCCTTTTATTAAGATGGTGCTCTTCAGTTTTCAATCTGTTGCTGCGTGGCTGTACTATTAGCTATAAAGAGACAAAGTGTCTAGCATGAATTACCGCCCATTTACGAACTTTTTTTAAAATTCATGAGTCTCCAGGACACTTTCAATATGACGTCTAGCGTACTGCCGTATATGATTCTGTTTATCATGCTCCCCGCAGTGGTTCTAAATTATTGTGTCTTCATTTTGCAATCAAACCGATTTTTGTAGATTTTGTTTCCTTTTCTAAAATTTGGATGTTAACCTGATTGGAGAGTTATTAAGTTAAATTCAGATGGATTTAGATTAGAAAGGCTCAAAGAAGAGCATTAACTAACTTTTAAAAAAGAATACACGCGTTATCATCAGATTGGTCAATTTGTTGTTTATTATACCGGTATGCAGAAACTTGTTATATAAAAGCAAAAGATAACATGGAACTCTTTATTAGCTTTATTTACCAGAGAAACTCAGTAATAAACCAGTTGAAAGTTGGGGAAAAAACAAAACTTTCCATCTTGGTCTACTGCGGCCGGAAAAAAGGAAAGATGAGGGTAGGCCGGTCCCGATTGTGCTCGGCAATTTAGGAGCAGCTTTTGCCGTTGGGAGCAATTTTTTGTGGTTCTAGCAAGCTCGAGCAACTTTTGAGCAAAATTAGGTTTAGGGCACATTTTAAACCTGAAAAAATTGAACAGTTCTTCACAAAAAATTTAAGTTTTGCGAATTTCTAGAGTGTTAATCAACCGAAAGGTAAGCTTAAAAGGAAAATTTACTGCACATTTCGATAAATTATAGAAAAAAAGAATAATTCTTAAACAAATTAACGTCCTACAATTTATAATTGTCTTCGTATGAATAATTACTTAACTAAGAAGTATAATGTTTTTAAGGGCTCTCATAGTGAGCTTATTTTTCTTGACGATGTAAACCATCATTTTGTAGAACGAAGAATAAAGTTTTTAATTAACGTTTAAATTTAAATATCAAGAAATTCACGTAGCAACTTTTGAAATTTTGGTAGCAACGTTTTGACATCCCAGTGAGCAACTTTCCAGCATTTTACGAGCACAATCGGAACAGGCCTTCAATCCCGTAATCCCGACCCAAAAATTTCTTGTAGTCCCGTAATTCTGTAATCCCAAGAGTTATTTTTGGTATGCCATCTCCCGTGCATACTGTCTATCCCTAATCTCGTCCAGAGTTTGCTTTAAAATCCCGAATCCCGAGCTTCAAATAAGGGAAATCCAGGATATCGAAAAATCTATTGAGAACCCTCATGGATAGCTGCTTTTACGTCTATTACTTAAATTTTGTGGATTTCAATACTGATAAGTGGCATTTAACTTTTGCTTTACATAGTTTCCGCTGATTATTGGTACGTATTTGTTGGACCCATCTAGGCACATAATCTGTGCATCAAGATCTGGTCGCATAAAGTAGACAAGCGAGCGTCGAGGCTGGTTCAAGTAATTCACCTCCTTTTCTGACACCACTACTCGATGGCGCTGAAATGCAATTAACAATCAATTAGTGAATGGAATAAAGTTTTGCGCCATGTAAGGGAATCCAAGACAGTCTTGGATTCTGGATTCCAGGTGATGGATTCCGGATTCCAGGTGATGGATTTCGGATTCCAGGTGATGGATTCCAGATTCCAGGTGTTGGATTCCAGGTTCCAGGTGATGGATTCCGGATTACAGGTGATGGATTCCGGATTCTAGGTGATGGATTCCAGATTCCAGGTGATGGATTCTGGATTCCAGGTGATGGATTCCAGATTCCAGGTGATAGATTTCGGATTCCTTGTCAATGGAACTTGGATTCCGGTTTCCAATCGTTATAACGGGATTCCGGATTCCTAGAGCTATTTCCGGATTCCAAAGCCCAGGATTCTGGATTCCACAAGCAAAACGTTTCCGGAATCTGGATTACCTTACAATTACATGGGACGAAACGTTTATCATATAAAGGTCGGGGCATAGAATAGTTCCTCAAAAAACGTGGGTCTCGGAAAATTTTGGCACGATTTCGGGAGATCTCGGGTGATTTTGCGTCTCGGAGGCTCGAATTTTGAAACCAAAAAATTTTGAATTTACCATTCTATACCCCTAAAGGTGGGACCCATAAAGACCTTTAGAGGCAAAATTAGAGGCAATGTGTTTGATTATCGAAGGGGTCCATATAATGTAATATACCGGGATGACTGGTATTTACATATAAGAATAACGATCATAAAAGTATTTTTGCCAGAGATATGTTGTACATTATTATCATTGTTGTAGCTTTTGAGGGGTTTCCGTTAGATATTTATTAAACGCTCAGATAAACGTCCAGCAGTTGGTTAAATTTACAGTTATAGCGTCTGTCGGCCTCTAAAAGGGGTAACTACTAAGTAGCTCGAGTAAGGAAAGGACCACAAGAAGGCAAAGCCGCTCAAGCAGATAAAGTACCAAATTAAAGTAATATGAGTTATATGTAGGGAGACTATTATTACGTTAGCTTGACACGAAGTACTTTGCTCTAAGGTTATGGTTAGCCAAATAAGTAATAACCGAACGGTTACGGTGTGCAGGCGATCGACTGTTAAAACGCTTTTGCTTCAACGCTGTGCTTTGCAAAAGTTCTACGTGATATGATATGGTCAAAACGCACGTTATCAGATTGCGTTCTGTGTAATCCATTCATTTTTAGTGGAAGTCCAGACAAAGTGCCGAACATGCGCAATAGCAACCTGGAGATTAGGATTGTGGACCCCTCTTGTCGCCCGCAATAATCACACCCAGTCTGCCCCAGAAGGGTCCGAGACAACTTTTATCTGTTATAGGTAATCTGATTCCAAAAAAGCTACTTTTGCGTCACTGTACAGTTTAACAAAAAATGTTGAAAGAATAAACATAAAACCATTACCCCTGCGATAAGCCTGTCTGATGTCAACTTCTGCATCATGTTTCCAATATTGATGCAAATAGATCCTTTGATCGGAACTGCAGGAACATATTTCCCCTCAGCGGATAGAAACTGTTGGAAAAGAAAGAGAGATATTTCAGTAAAGAAGTACATTTTAGTTCGGCTTTTTGTTATTCAGATTTTCAATGCTTACATTTCGGCTTCATTTCTCTAATCCTCTAATATTGGAAATTCCAAAAATGAGTCGAAGATTAAGGCTCTAAAGTGAAATACTGTACTTGTTTCGCTCAGAGGTCACTTACGCCGACTGTTTTACATGACAAAATACTGAACAATTCCAGACATCTCTCCTTCACAAGCTCGCAGGGGTTTCCTTTGTGTCATCGTCGAGCTCATAAACGCGGAGAGCTAGGATGAGCAGAAAGTTTTCAAAATTCAGAAGGCTCTCCTCGCCTAAACAGCCGACATTTCGCGACGCCAAAACTGGTTTCCCGCCAATGACGTCTGAGAAACGAGCTTCCATACTGATGACGCATCTTCTGATTGGTTGAAGCAAATTTCCCACGCGGCACAACCACGACGCGTCATCAGTATGGAATTTCTGCACGCGTTTCTCAGACGTCATTTCGAGAGGAAACCAGTAGGTGGCGTCACTCAGTCGGAGCGGCTGTCACTGGTTTGATATTAGTTACTGTTAATTCCTCACCTCCAAACCTCCTAATTCATCTTGATATAGCATCGTTATGATCCCGAGGTCAGTGTGTTCCCCGCAACGTAACTGACCAGGTTTCACCTTTGTCGGGTCAGCTTTTGGGTAGTAAGTGTAGCGAAGCGCAGAATTTCCTTCAAGCTTCCCAGTATGTTTGAAAGCAAAGTCAAAAGTTGTAGGATCCTAGGATGAAACAAAGTAGTTAAGTTAATTCAAAATCATTTGTGAGTCATAATTCTTCCAGTTGCTGTCAGACTGACAGGATCAGGAATGGGGTATTAATTCCGCTTTCCCGCTCGATCCTTTTCAACACAATCGCGTGTCATCTTCATCCAGAATACCGTTCTCTTTACCAATACCGCTTCCTGTGCCAAGATTAATACCTCAGCTTTTGTTTATTTATAAAAATCTCTAACCATTGATTTTCCACTTTGACTTCCTCCCTAACTGACTTATTTGTTCTGTGCTCCATCTATGATATTTTAAAATTTTTTCTGTAGCACTTCATTTCAGAAGGGTTAATTCTAACCTGCCTACGAACTTTTATGCCATTCAAATTCGTTTCTTTAGCTGCATCTTGATACCATGAGAACATAAAAAACCAGAAATGATGGAACGGCTATTTTATTAATGAAATAAGAAAAATGTTTAGGAGATTCGCTTTTATGTTCTCTTTATTCGTCAATTTATAGTCAACGGACCAATTACATAGGTTGTTAACCCCACCAATATGGAACTTACCAGACCCATCCCAATTGTGACAGTTGATAGCACCCTTAAGCTGAGCTCATGAGTATCTTTCCATAAATCCAACACATGTTCTTTAAAGTTGGGAACTTCCACTGGCCAAAGCTGCAAATCACCGATAATAACAAGCAATTATTAACACTGTTCCTTGACTGCAAGGTTCACGGCGCACGCTATTGATGTCATATCAACTTAGTGGCCGTTTTTATTGTAAAGACGTTAAAGTGTCTAGCTATGAACAGTAAATAAGACAGATGCATCTAATTTCTTCTTGAAGTACATCATTCAGACGCATTTAACTAACGACGTTCTCGTCTCAGACGTTAAAAGTATCTAGTATGAAAACGGAAGGCCGTAAACTTTGAAGCATTTGTGCCCAACTCGTCCAGAGCGAACTGGGAAGAGTTAGTGTTTGGTCTTTTTTCAGAAAACTTTGCTCTTTTTCCCAATCATCTCGACAACTTTTAGGCGTCCCGTTTTTAGACCTATCGACTTTAAAACGGCCAGTGGTTCACAAACTGTACATGGGTATCATCAACCTAGGTCCCTAGGCGTGCTCTCTGGGAAAGGGTCAACCAGTCTCTCTCAGTGACGTCACAGCTCACGGTAGAGTTCAGGATTGACTTAAGTGAGAACGGCAAGGGAATAGGCTGGGGTATCATGTATGTGGGGCAAAAATTTACTACGCGATCAGCTAGTGCGAGTTTTGGACCCAAGATTTCGATCTTTGAATACTGTGGGAACGCTACAAAATTGGCCCTTAACTTTCACTCTCAGTTTTTAGCCGTTTCAGACCAACTTAGTGTATTAGTGCTATAACTTGTTTCCAGACAGAGATCGTTTCTCGAAAGTCCTGTTAAATTTTCGGGCAAGGAAAACTATTTTATGAGCATCATGTGGGCATCAAAGATTCAAATAATTGTGTTTATTTGAAATTCCTGAAATGAACTTCAGAGTTAAAGACTAAAAATGTGTCTTGTTTTGTTATTACGTTTCGCCCACAGTACTGGTGCCAACAGCCAAAAACCTCACTGCACGAATCCAACGCTGGATACGCAACTTCAGTCGACATCTCCTGCCTTGAAAACATTACAATACGCAAAAAATAACTTCCGGAAACTTCCGGAAACTTTGATCATCCTCTACACTGTTTATGAAAGCGTTAATAGTGTCTAAGCGTTCCCGGCAAAAACCACGGTTTAAATAAAAGTTCACATGCTTTTTAATGAGAACATTTTGCATAGAGTGTATTTCAAATAGGTTACGTTTTTAGGCCAATTCTTATTTTTATTATCACTACTACGTGTCTACGGGCTAAAAACTTACCGTACATTTGGAGGAAAAGATCCGCCTGGCACTATAGCTGAACTCGTTTGCAGAAATCAAATAATGGCCGTGATTCTAAAAATGTGAGTTGGTAGTCTTGTTCTTGCAAGTACGAATATCTTAGTGGAGTCACTGTTCATAATGGTAGAACAAGTCAATTTATCTGTTATATACTAGCTTATATTCATATCGGCATTTCATCGGATTAAATAGGTTAACGTTTTCAGCTCTCATTGGTGTGGCTTTTAGATAAAACTTGAAAAGCATTTTGTAATTTCTGCGCGAAAATAGTTACTTTGCAGCTATATCCATTGACTTACGAAGTCATCCTCTAAGAAATCTTTTATATCGAAGCATTCCTTTAGATCGCCTGGTGTCTTTTCTCGTCGATTAACACTGCAATCCAAAACACAATACGTTAAAGGAATATAAGTATAGAACCTAAAAACAAAAAAAGAAAACTTTTTTAGCATAACGAAGTCGTTTGCGCGTGGTTGGCTGACGTAAATAAGACGACTACGCGAATATCAGCGGTAAAACGACGTTGCTAAGAACCATGTTGGGGATTAAAACTCCACTAGCAGGATGCCAGAAATACAGTTAACTCTCTCTAAGACGGAAACCTTTGGGACCGGCACCAAGTTTCCGTCTTATAGAGATGTCCGTCTTATAGGGAGTTCAATAAAGAGAGTTTACGTGCTGCACCTGACTCTTAAGAATTAACTACCTCTCTCTTTCCAATGCGTCCCATCCATTTTGACTGGCCCTTTCCCCCTTTTTGTATTTTCTTTTGACTTCACTTTCCAAAGTGAAAAACCTGTCCCCAGCGCTGAATGCAGCATCAACCTGCCATTAAGTACAGTTATTGTATTATAAACAATTAAACAGACAAAACAAGATTATAATCAGGATACTCCGACGGTTTCAGCACACCTATTTTCTTGCGAGATTATGTCGACAAAGTCTTTTGCTACATATAACCCCGCGTTAAAGGCAACTCAGTTGTACGGGGGAGAGATTACTGTTTCTTATATATCAAGCTATATACGGGATGTACGGTCCTAAAGGGTATGTTTTTTTTTATTTTAAACGGTCCTTACGGTCTACAATTGGGCCCAACCCAAGGAGAGGTACTCTGGATTCCAAGTGACGGGATGATCCAACCTCGTGCTTAGGTCACTTAGATCGAAAGTGGGAGGGGTGACGGTTGTGGATAATGGAATAAGGGCAAATCTCAAAACCAGGATGTCAAACGCCCCCCCCCCACCCACCCCCAAAAAATCCCTGGAACTTTTTCGAATATTCCGCAAAAATCCCTACTTAATGTCCCACGCAAAAAATATTAAGATAATTGTTTAAGTTTTCTACCCCTCAAAATGTTGCGATCATCCTCCCGTCTCTTGTAATCCAGTACCCAGCCCCACCTTCCCCGCCGGGCTTTCTGCTCACTGGAACAAGGATCGTTTTTAGAAAACGAAGAACTCAACGATGTCTTTTGTTTAAGGGACGAACAGAAAACGTTTTACTATCTTTCCGTCGTTTCCTGGTGTTTCAACAGTTGTTCAAACTAAACTGGGATTCAAGTCTTCAGTCTTCGCTTCAGTTAAAGACACCCATCGGGACACCCACTTCTCTAACGTCCTTTCTAATCAAAGCCAAAGCACCGAAACCAATACCCTGCCAACAAAGGTTTCTCTCTGGGATGGCTTCTAGCATTTGCGAAGTCTTTTACGTGGCTTGCCAGTCGCGTAGTTGGTTTGTTTACGCAAACCAGCTACGCCACTGACAAGTAAATGTTAAAAACCATGCCAGAGTCCCCAGGGAGAAACCTCTGTTAGCATGGTATGAAGCCAACTTCGCCCCAGGGCTGAGGTTACCCTAAAGCAATGCAGTGGAGGATCCAGGGGAGGGGCCCAGGTCCCCCCCTTATTTTTCGACCAAAGTGAGGCCCGAATGGCCGAAAAAATTTTTTTGGAGACCGCCCCCCCCCCCCATCTGAAGGTCTGGATCTGCCAATGCAATGAGTACAGTTGCGTCAAGTGCTCTCTTACAATGGAAAATAATAAAACCGTCAGTCCAAAAAAGTCATGACCTTAACAAACGCCAAACCACTCTTTAAAAGAGTAGCAAACAGATGCTACGAGCACCTAAGTGTTGGCCAACGAGGCTATGGTTGCCGGTCCACGAATGCATGTCGTCCTTGCATTCAAAGGCACCACCCCAGGGGGTACTTCCTATAATATATAGCCTGCACTGGGAGGACTTCGTTTTAGAAACATCCCCCTTAAAAGACTGGGGTTATCCAAGAAATTGCCTGGTCTTCTTATTTTAAATAAATGAGACGTGTTATTCAGTTAACACGAATAGAGTATACTTTTCAGAAAGATTCGTAGAAATTTTGCGTAATTAGAGGAACGTTTGCGCATAACGCCCGATACTGTAGTTGAATGCTGGAAGACAAAAAATTAAGTTTCAGAATGAAAGCACTAAAGGTATTTTTGTAAAACTGTAAAAGGTTTGAAGCCAGGAGTCATTTCATAAGTCATGATAAGTTATTGGCTATGAAGACTCCTACCTATTCAGGACTACGCTCACCCAGACGATCAAGTGCCTCCTACTTATGGTATTTTTGTAATCGTTTAACAAGCTGTTCTTACAAGAAGTTTCTTAGAAATTTTGTAAAATTAGAGGAACACTTGCGCGTGTTTTTGTGATCTCGGGTCGAGGTGGTAATAAATGTTCAGAATGACTGAATTGTGTTGTATTTCTGCAATCTTGTAACAACCCCAAAAGTGGACAGTATACGTTCAAATGATGAATTATTGATTTTATATATTTGAACCGCGGAATGAAGAAATAGATCCAAAGAAGATCTCGCACTTTAAGACGCAACTTATCAGACTTGTGCAGTTGCGAAAAGAAAGCCGTTCGGGAGCTTTTAGCTGTAACATAAAAGAACGCTTTCCCACTTTCAGACTGTTTGACACGCTTCCCTTGAGTCCAGACAGACGGCTTGAATTTTTGTTATTATTTTTTAATAAAGTGTCAAACTCAGAGCGATTTTCTTAGGGTTTTTTTGGGTTTTGGCTTTCAAAATACCCCAGCGAATGCCCAAGAAAGCAAAACCGAGGATAGTTTTCCTTTTTGGCGAACCCTTTTTTGGATTGAGACAATCCAGATTGTTTGGATTTTCGTGATAGCCGAACAAACATCTGGAAAAACGATTGATCCATACACCGGGGGTTACTTCCTATAATGACGGGGAGGCTCTCCTCCTGAAAGTGGTACCTTTTTCACGCTTTTGGTATTTGAAAGGGTTGGGATTTCACTAGTTGAAGTATATGAGAGGTTAGGGAAATCTGTCAATTCGGTCGGTCTGAAGGCCCAAAAGGGATGACAAATGCACTGGCTGTAAAAAAGTTGATAATGGCGGCTCTGCTGCCCCTGAAGTTTTCTCCGAACTCGGACAAGTAATTTGAGTCATTTGAGTGTAGCTAAATGTCGTGGGTCGTGGGTAATGGGTAGAGGTCGTGGGTCGTAAATGTGGATCGTTGGTGTGGGTTTAAATGTTGTGGGTTAAACCCGGCATAGTAAATCGAACTCAATCGAACTCAATCGAACTCAATCCGTGGATTGAGTTCGATTGAGTTCGGCAATCGAACGAAATCGAAACCCACACTTTCATTGAGTTCGATTTCCGAACAAATCGAACTCAATCGAACTCAATCCGTCTGATTGTGTTCGATTGAGTTCGGAAACCGAACTCAATCGAACACAATTAAATGGATTTCGTTCGATTGGCTCTGGTGAAGCTATACAAAGCAAGCCCAAAGCAAGCCCGTCAAAGCAAGTTTTTCTTGCGCTTTTTTTACTATTTATTCAATATCACAAACCCCATTTATAAACTGTCCACGGTAGTTAAGAGAAGAGAACAGAACAAACCCTGAAAACTTCGCCATCCTTGACGTCAAAGCGGCATTCCTGGTAGCCTTTGACTATACATTTGAAGCTTACGATCCACAACGCATCTGAAGCCATTTCTGCGGAATTTCTTCGTTTACGAAAAACACGTGCGCTACACTCAAGGCTGAAGTAACTCGAGCTTCTAAGATCTGGTAATGGATTTTCAACGTCTGTTTTACATAAATCACGAGTTCGAAAATCAAACGTTCGATTGGGTTCGATTGATTTTTTTTCTTTTCGGTGAGTTCGATTTCGTTCGATTGCCGAACTCAATCGAATTCAATCCACCGATCGAGTTCGATTGAGTTCGATTAAAATTTAGTTCGATTGGGTTCGATTTACTATGCCGGGGGTTAAAAAAAGCATTAAAAAAATGAAATAAAGAAATAGAAAAAGAAATAGAAAAAAAGTTGTAAAATATGCCATAACAGAGCACAAATCACACTAAAATCAAAACAAGAATTTCCAGGTTTGGTAAATTTTACGTTTTTCAGTTTATTTCCCTATTTTACGTAGTAAGGATGATATTTCTTTTCGCCACAAATTAGGTTCGGCACATCTAAAGTTCGACCGTCTGAATCAACAGTCGAACCTGAATAGGTGTTAGGTTCGGCACATGAAAAGTAGGGGTGGAGACGTATGATATTTCAGACAAAAGTACAGGTCACATTCCACAGGTCAAGTATGGCGCGCCGTTTGTTTCAAAATTATTTTTTTCAGTTGTACCATTTCATCGTCTCTTTCGTTATGTTTTTTATTTAGAGATACTGTGGTATGAACATATTCTCTGTCAGTTGTACGCATCACTCTGTCGGTGGTAGCTGTACGGGCTACAAATTGTCGGTTATAAACCTTCATTCTGTCGGTTGGACGCACTACTCTGTCGGTTACAAATATTTACTCTGTCGGTTGTAAACATTTAGTCTGACGGTTGTACTCTGATAGTTGTGTTCATAACTCTGTGGGTTATGTACATTACTTTATCGGTTGTACGCACTACTCTGTTGGTTGTAACTCTCTCGGTTATAAACATTTACGCTTTACGTGGTCGGTTGTACTACTTAGGGGGCGGGGGCGGATAGGAGGAAGCGAGAAAAATAGAGGGACTGTAATAACATCACTGCAGCTCGCGTTCAGGAGGCGTGACAGGAATTTCACGCCTTTTACCATTCAGTAATTAAGAAACTCCGCTGGCGATGAAAAACATGCCAGACACATTTAGCATCGATTACGCGTGTTTACAAATATCTCTTTTCCAAACCATGATTTTATAATGTTTCTGGGCCATTCCTCGAAATAAAATCCGCAAACATGCACAAGAAAACATTTTCCTAATCAAAATGCCAAAAATCCTTCGTGTGTTAGCGCAAGATGTGCCTTATGGTATGAAAGCGTACGTTTTATTGAAAAGTCGACTTGTCAACGACTCGTCAATTTAGGCAACTTAAACTAGCCCCGTTGTCAACGCAAATTAACATCTATTGTCTAATGACCAATCAAATGCCTGCGTTGCTGGTACAACGCGCTCCGTGAACACGAGCTGTGGTGATGTTATTACAGTCTGCAAGTTGGCAGCCCGTAACAGAAAGCGCTCGATCTCGATGATCTTACGGAAAAATAGAGCATTGTAAACATTTACTCTGTCGGTTGTACGCACTACTCTGTCGGTTGTATGCACTACTCTGTCGGTTGTATGCACTACTCTATCGGTTGTAAACATTTACTCTGTCGGTTGTACGCACTACTCTGTCGGTTGTAAACATTTACTCTGTCGGTTGTACGCACTACTCTGTCGGTTGTATGCACTACTCTGTCGGTTGTAAACATTTACTCTGTCGGTTGTACGCACTTCTCTGTCGGTTGTATGCACTACTCTGTCGGTTGTAAACATTTACTCTGTCGGTTGTACGCACTACTCTGTCGGTTGTATGCACTACTCTGTCGGTTGTACGCACTACTCTGTCGGTTGTACGCACTACTCTGTCGGTTGTATGCACTACTCTGTCGGTTGTAAACATTTACTCTGTCGGTTGTACGCTCTACTCTGTCGGTTGTATGCACTACTCTGTCGGTTGTATGCACTACTCTGTCGGTTGTACGCACTACTCTGTCGGTTGTATGCACTTAACTCTGTCGGTTGTAAACATTTACTCTGTCGGTTGTACGCACTACTCTGTCGCTTGTACGCACTACTCTGTCGGTTGTACCGGAAACCGGAATCCGGAAATATGAACGGGAATACGAACAGGAACAGGAAGGGGAACCGCCACAGGAACCGGAATGGGAAGAGAAACCTATATAAAAACAGGGACAACATTTACCTTAATTTAAGTTAATCTGGATTTAATTCCTATTTAGACTATATACCAAAAATAAGGGAAAAATATAATGGGAATCGGAATAGGAAGGGGAATATAAACAGTGTATAGAAACATGAAAAGAAAAAGGTATAATCGTGATTTAAATAAAAAGCCAGAGAAATAATAAAAGAAACAAGAAAACACCCTGGAAATGTTAATCTAATTAACCTTTCTTTATCTTCAGCCAGTGACACATTGAATTTTCGTGTCAAACATAATAGCGAACTTAACCAACGAGAACGCTGACCGTCGGGGGCTTCATGAATAGCAACGGAAGTTCAATGTTTCGCTTGATGGAACGCTTCTGTCTCACAGAACGAATCTGAATTCTTCCTCTTACCTTCCACTATGCGAATTTGTTGAGTCAGGGCTCCGAAAGATAGAAAACATCTACTTCCACCACTGAGAAATGAATTCGGGTCTTAATTCAAACTGTTTCTCATTAATTCCAAATTGTCCAGTCTTTTAAACGTTGGGAAATGAAGCTGGAGACCGCGTCCGAGCTCAGAAAGACAAAATAAAATTTATCGCCTGCCGTTCACGTTGTCAAGAAAACTTAAGATTTGATCATTTACGTCGTAGTTGTGCATAGACGGTGAAGAAATTGACAGAAAGCACGATGCACTCGCAAAGCTGTTGCTTTACTTATTTTACTTGCTGCTTTTTTTACCTTCTCGTTGCCGTAATATAAAGAGAGTCATGGGGGAGCATGATAACAGACTAGTTTTCTTTTTCTTTGTATCAATTGAATCAGAATTAAAATAATATAAGGCAATGATGTCCCTGTTCTTGTAACGGTTCCCCTTCACATTACTGTCCCTGTTCCGTTGCCGTTTCCGGTTCCGGTTTCGGTTCAGCTTCCTGTTCCCATTCCCGTTCCTATTGCGGATTCCTGCTTTTCCAGACGCCCGTTGTACGCACTATTCTGTCAGTTGTATGCACTACTCTGTCGGTTGTGTACAATACTCTGTCAGTTTTACGCACTACTCTGTCAGTTGTATGCGCTACTCTGTCGATTGTAAATATTTACTCTGTCATTTGTACCCTCTACTCTGTTGGTTGTAAATGTTTACTCTGCCGTCCCCGTGCTCCGTCGGTTGTACCCACTACTTTGTCGGTTGTGTACATTACTCTGTCAGTTGTCACTACACTGTCGATTGCAAACATATACTCCGTCGGTTTTACGCACTACTCGGTTGGTTGTATTAAACATTACACACTACTGAAACGTTCCTTTCGCCTGACAGCATAGCATAGCTGACTGAAAGTTCATTTTTTTTTCATTTGTTTGATTTTTGATGTTGTTTTTACTGAAAAGGAACAAATGAACTAATTATGTCGTCGGAATCAACAGGGGCTCTGGTCATTTCGGGTAGCTCTTTATTCCACACGGTACCCTCTGGCTTACAGGACAATAAATGCCGTTAATCAGTTCAATAATTATATAGGTGTTGTTCCTTTCTTTCTTACTTAACGTTTATTCTACTCTATTTAATTTGTTGTTATATTGCTTGTTTTGGTAATGAAATCTTCATGTAGGAGACAAAGTCAATAAGGGACCGACCATTAGAAACGTTATGGGGGAGGGAATTTTCGAGCGGCAGGAATTTTTTTCGTTATCAAATTCCTTGTATGAATTTTTTTTAGGCCATAGCATGAATATTTTTTAGGGTTAATTGGCGTGCAAGAATTTTTTTTCATTTAATTTTCCCTTGCGCGAATTTTTTTTTTGTGCTTCGCCCGCCCCCCCATAAGTTTTCTAATGGTCCGTCCCTAAATATGATAACAAATATTCAAGGTGGTCGATCAGCGGGGTTTTGCTGTACCCTTTTGTTCTGGGTAAATTTCCGGTTGGCTATTTATATGTCAAATCAGTTATCAAAACATAACTCCTTTAAATATTGGGTTTTGTTATTTGAGCGACGTTCTACTTGCCTTAACATCCTTTTGTATTAACCAAGCGAAAATTATCTAATAGTAGCCCATTCTCTCTTGTATTGACTTAATTTTTCAGAAAGCTGCAAATACCAAAATGATTTTGTGTGCCTGTTTGATTTAAAAAAACACCTCAACAAAACACTGAGGGTGGTGGATTGGTGGGGTTCTCATACACCACCCTTTTTTGTCTGTGTTTTCCAGGCATTTGATCGAGTGTGAGTAAATTTACTGGCTAATTATTAGAGTGTGATCATCTAACTGCTTGACTTCTACAAGATCAACAGTAGAGGCTCTTTCATCATTTCGTATAGCTCTTTATTCCACGAAAAACAACGGGATAAGGGTGATACAAACAGTGGTATTTTGTCACATATGTGATGTTACATGCCTTAACATCCTTTCATAGTAAAGTTATTTTCCAGAAGGTGTTTTATTAAAAAAAAAACAAAAAAACAAAAGGAAAACACTCAGTGTGGTAGGTGGGTGGGGTTCTCATACACTACCCGTTTGTTGTCTGTGTAAATTTCCAGGCTAGAGGAAATTTACTTCCTGAATTAACAATAGTTTGTCGGAGTGTGATCTAACTGCTTGACGTCTAGATCAACACTGGGTGCTCTTTCATAATTTGGGATAGCTATTTATTCCACGGAAAACCTGTTGAAAGGATAAGGGTGATACAAACTGAAGCACTTTTTTTTTCCCTATATGGGATTTTATATGCCCTTCATAGTAAAGTTATTTTACAGAAGGTCCTAGATACCTATTTTATTTCTTGCGGGTGTTTTATTGAATAAAAAAAAAAATAAAATAAAACAAAAGGAAGAGACTCAATGCGGTAGGTGGGTGGGGCTCTCATACACTGCCGTTTGTTGTCTGAGTAAATCTCCTGGCTAGAGGAAATTTACTCGCTAAAAGCAATAGCTTATCGGAGTGTGATCGGAGCATGATCATGTAGTCTAGATCAACACTGGGTGCTCTTTCATAATTTGGAATAGCTCTTTATTCCACGGAAAACCAGTTGAAAGCATACAACTGACAGAGTACTGCTTACAACTGACAGAGTAGTGCGTACAACCGACAGAGAAGTGCTTACAACTGACAGAGTAAATGTTTACAACCGACAGAGTAAATGGTTACAACCGACAGAGTAAATGGTTACAACCGACAGAGTAGTGCGTACAACCGACAGAGTAGTGCATACAATCGACAGAGTAGTGCATACAACTGACAGGGTAGTGCGTACAACCGACAGAGTAAATGTTTACAACCGACAGAGTAGTGCATACAACCGACAGAGTAGTGCATACAACCGACAGAGTAGTGCATACAACCGACAGAGTAGTGCGTACAACCGACAGAGTAAATGTTTATAACCGACAGAGTACTGCATACAACCGACAGAGTAGTGCATACAACCGACAGAGTAGTGCGTATACAACCGACAGAGTAGTGCGTACAACCGACAGAGAAGTGCTTACAACTGACAGAGTAAATGTTTACAACCGACAGAGTAAATGGTTACAACCGACAGAGTAGTGCGTACAACCGACAGAGTAGTGCATACAATCGACAGAGTAGTGCATACAACTGACAGGGTAGTGCGTACAACCGACAGCGTAAATGTTTACAACCGACAGAGTAGTGCATACAACCGACAGAGTAGTGCGTACAACCGACAGAGTAAATGTTTACAATCGACAGAGTTAAGTGCATACAACCGACAGAGTAGTGCATACAACCGACAGAGTAGTGAGTATACAACCGACAGAGTAGTGCGTACAACCGACAGAGAAGTGCTTACAACTGACAGAGTAAATGTTTACAACCGACAGAGTAAATGGTTACAACCGACAGAGTAGTGCGTACAACCGACAGAGTAGTGCATACAATCGACAGAGTAGTCCATACAACTGACAGAGTAGAGCGTACAACCGACAGAGTAGTGCGTACAACCGACAGAGTAAATGTTTACAACCGACAGAGTAGTGCATACAACCGACAGAGTAGTGCATACAACCGATAGAGTAGTGCGTACAACCGACAGAGTAAATGTTTACAACCGACAGAGTTAAGTGCATACAACCGACAGAGTAGTGCGTACAACCGACAGAGTAAATGTTTACAACCGACAGAGTTAAGTGCATACAACCGACAGAGTAGTGCGTACAACCGACAGAGTAGTGTATACAACTGACAGAGTAGTGCATACAATCGACAGAGTAGTGCATACAACTGACAGAGTAAATGTTTACAACCGACAGAGTAAATGGTTACAACCGACAGAGTAGTGCGTACAACCGACAGAGTAGTGCGTACAACCGACAGAGTAAATCTCTACAACCGACCACGTAAAGCGTAAATGTTTATAACCGACAGAGTTACAACCAACAGAGTAGTGCGTACAACCGATAAAGTAATGTACATAACCCACAGAGTTATGAACACAACTATCAGAGTACAACCGTCAGAGTAAATGTTTACAACCGACAGAGTAAATATTTGTAACCGACAGAGTAGTGCGTCCAACCGACAGAATGAACGTTTATAACCGACAATTTGTAGCCCGTACAGCTACCACCGACAGAGTGATGCGTACAACTGACAGAGAATATGTTCATACCACAGTATCTCTAAATAAAAAACATAACGAAAGAGACGATGAAATGGTACAACTGAAAAAAATAATTTTGAAACAAACGGCGCGCCATAGTCAAGAGTATAATTCAGATAAGTTACTGGGCCACAAAGGGCTGTATTTCACCGACCTGTCTCTGGTCACGATTTATAGCTTATAGTACAAAAAGCGATACAAATCACAACTATCAACGATACCAATCTCAATGTGGTGGTTGTTGTTGTTGTTGTACTGGAACGGAAAATCGAATCTTTGATCGCAAAATCTGTATTCAGATTTTTCGAAAGGAAACGCAACCTAACTCATCTGTAAAACCACTCCAATGAATGACGAATGCCTTTGTTTTGCCGTTTGAGGCGGGCATTTCTAGAAAATGATGGAAAATGAAAACCCCACAAAGAGACGCATCAATATTTCTCTGTTAGCAGAGGATCTTGGTTTGGTAGTTTGAGGCGAGCATTTCTACAAAACTAAGAACTCGTCGATCAAAACGTTTTAACATTTTTCTATCCGTCGTGTTTTAACAGTTGTAAAATTAATTGCAAAGAGGTGTGTTCGGTCTTCTAGATCCCCTCACCCGGCTTCCACTTGGGTGTAAGTATATTTTAATGCAAAATCGCTAGTTATGTTGTGTTCTCAGAAAATATAAAGAGAGAAGTTATACCTTTTCTAGGGTAAGGCCATGGTTGGTAATATAAACGAATCCCACAGTACTAAAATGCTTCACCATCTGCCTGGCTACTTCTTTTACTGTAGGATCATCACGGTCAGGTACTTGTTCATGTTTGAGGCTCAGCGCTTCGAAGTTCACAATCGGAAGATCATCGTTGGAGCCCATCGCGTGCGATGCAGTGCAAGGAACTTAAAACACTGTTGTGAAACAGATGTTGAAGACAGGTGTCTTTTGAATCCTTTTTGGCACTACCGTCTGAAATTACAAGCCGATCCATTGGGACACTGGATTGAGAAGCCTGCGGGGAAGCCGGGGGAAATGTGGAGGGAGGCTAGATAGTATAGTGGAAACGTATTAAAACGAGCAAAGCGAAAGTAAGATGCGCACGACTTGGGAAAGGAGGCCCCAGCCCCCTCGCGTTTTTCGCCTTTCTTATTACTGAACGACTTTCCACCACCATCTCGGAGCCTGGAACAGGCTAGCTAAATCACAGAACTACCAGTTCAATTTACCATACAGGAAACAAATGAAAAACATGGAAAAAGCTACCGCTACAAAACTATTCTACCAAGTTATCGGTTTTCCATTCAACAGTGTCATGTTTGCTTTGATTTGGACTTAAAAGGACAAAAATCGGTCAGTAGTCTTCTGGGGTTCAAAAATTTGACCACTGTTCGCCGCGCAATACTATCCCAAAGTTCCCCCCTTGCTCTCCGCAACAAAGACCTTATTCAAGGAGGGCAGTAAAAATACCAATCACGTGCGCACTGCGCCAAGAGCTATCAGCCTTGCGTGCTAGTCTAGACTGCTTGCTGTCCGCCTTCTCTCTTAAAATCCGTCCAGTTCTTATCTCAGCCAGCGCGATTGCAAATCACGACTTTACATTGCAATAAGGGATTGTGACGATTTTCCTCTCGGGCTTACGCCCTCGTTTATCGCGCTCGCGTGTTTGGAGTTTCGCGTACAGTATCGTAGCTTCCCAAGCAGGCGTTTTTAGAGGAGCTCGTATTTCGCCCTTCCCACAAACGCCTGCTCAACCGAGAACAAATTCTGTAAGGTTGACCTTGACAGCAGGGTAACTCCATCTGCATGAAACACTGGGAAAGCCTTAGGACCTCTAATAGTAAATGTTAGATTCAGAGCGACAAAAGTAAGATTTAGTCAGTTTTTAGAATACGCCGGGCACTGCATAGCCTGCGTGCAGACGATAACTAAACTCTGATTAGTACCGTCTGCGAAGCAGCGCAGAGATCCTTGTTCTGGACCCCCAACGGACTCAACGAATTACCGGAAGTGCGTTTCGAATTCCCCTTCAACCTGATTGGCGATCACGACAAACAAAACAAAGCCTTTTTTAACTGGCCAGTCGTGGCGCGTACTCAAATCTGGGTACACAGCTGGAAGTCCAGAACAAGGATTTCGGCGCTGTTTCGCAGACGGAGTTAACCAGAGTTTAATTTCGTCTGCGCGCAGGCTAGGCACTGCATAACCTCAGCGAAGGAAAAAAAGGAGGGGAAAGATGCTGGGCAAAGTCCCTTATATAAATCTTACAATTAAAATTATATAAAATTGCCCTGTATAACTTAATCCTTAAAGTCTTCACTTTCAGTCTCCTTAAAGTGAACACTTAAGACTCCTTAAAGTCTTCACTTTAAGTTAAAGAGTTCACTTTAAGACCCCTTAAATCCTCTACGCCGGCCCTGTGCAAAGATGTCCACAGACCCTCGATTTTCTCCCTTCCCCACCCCTCCCCCCTTGGGCTTACGGTCAATACATCCATAGAAAAAATCCGGAGAAAATAGAGCGTCCGTGGAAAGGGCTATACCTCCCCCTGGTAGACCTGGTAGTGTTTGACATCCTATTCCTACAAAAAAAACGGCTTGCCTATTACCCTAACAGTGGCGGGTTCCTCTTATGACTTAGTTCGTCGTGACTGAGTAATTTTATACGTATGGAGTAGGAGTATTTTACCAAAGAAACCCAGAATGAAACCGGTGAACAATCGTCTACACAAATTCGCAAATCCATCGGACCAACGCCTCCCCCACCCCCCACCCCGATAAAAAAAAACTGACTGTGGACTGGCCTAATGTTTATCACAAACGTCAGACTTCAAACAAAGAACCCTTCATCGCCTTCCCATCTTCCCCGCGCGCATAACCCAAGCGCCTCACTGGTAAATAATTAATCACTAGAAACAACTTGGAGACGACTGGGGACGAGTCAGTCTCAGAGGCCAAATCCGCACAAATCTGGATATTTTTTAGCCTCTTTCGTTTCGCAGACGCTCAAGCTGGAGTCACGCAATGCTCCTCGTGGGAACGGGGAGCATTGCGTGACCCAGGTCCGAGCGGCTGCGAAGGAGACTAGATATTTTTGAAACCTCAATTACTACCGTATCTTTTTTAGACCCTCTCAAGAATCCGACTTAATATGCGTTTTCAAAAATGTCCGTATTTGTGTAGTCTGCCACACAGCCGTTTTTAGTGTCGTCACGCAACGCTCCTCGGGGAGGAACGTTGCGTGACGACAATAAAAACGGCTGTGCAGGAGACTAGTATTTGTGTGGACAGGGCTTCAACTGGTCTGCTACACAGCTGTTTTTAGTGTCGTCACGCAACGTCCCTCCCCACGAGGACCGTTACACGACGACACTAAAACCGGCAGTGTGTAACGGACTAGGCCTCAACTTTCCAGTACATGAATACGCCCTCGCTAATGACAATAACTCAAATTTACTCAGTTGTATTTGCGAGGGAAACGAAGAAAAAACACACTATTTTCAATATTTATTTGTATGTACAAAGTAGGCTACATGGGATGAATAGTAAGTGAAAACTATTTACACACTTTATAATATTACTATTTTTGAATAAACTTTCTTGCACCTGTCAGGTACCTTCTCCCTTCATATTTCTGGAAACTTCTGAGTACCTAGAGAATCCCTTTTGTCGTAAAGGTCATTTTATTGCGAAGAAAAACTCCCTCGAAAACTGTTGGTTGATTGTTACTCGGCAGTCGGCTGATAATCGCTTACGGTTTTAAGCCAAAATTTTCGCCAGATTTCTTGGGGAGATGTTCTTCTTAATTATTATTTTTTCTACGTAACAATTTTTCTCACAGTGATTGCAATGCATTTCAGTTGACGTTATGTAAGGGAATGTGGGCAAAACAACAAGGTTTTTTTACTACAAAGAAAAAGTTATGTATTTATCACAGGAAGGAAGTGTAGTAAACAGACAATAACTTCGATGACATTAACAACTTACAGGGTTATAAGAAAAACCCTGGAATAATTTAGTGCAGAAATTGCAAAACCAAACAATTTTTTTTGCTGTAATACTGATTTGGGTGCAAATTTTCAACGTGAGTGTTATTTTAGGTACGCTAAGTCTATTCAAAATTTGCAAATGAATATAGATATATTTTCCTTGCACTTCAGACAGTTTGATCAGAGATCACCAATGATCAGAATCTTCTGGTGACTAGTTTGCGTAGGCGACGGCAGCGAAAATGTCACGTAGAGTAAATTCCGTTCTTTAAAACATAATCGCGAACATTCCAACTTCCCCAATTTGTAAATTTTTTGCAAATTATCCTGAAATTGAATTTCTAAGGACCGCAACCAAGTGCAGAGAGAGAAAGCAGAAATCGTGTTCGTGTGTTTCCGCCGATTCTGAATCGTCTCATCGGACAATTACATTTTGTAGTCGTGCAATGACGGTAGGGAAATGAACGGAAAATTTTTACGCACGCGCAAAGTTGTCGGTTTGGTCATTTTAAGTCTCAGGATGCTTTATTGATGTTCTCGTTGCAGTCGCCGGTGTGATTGTTTAAGAGTTAAAGATCTCTCTTGATTACCTAAGAAACGTTCGTTAAATTTTTCAACCAAACAGAAGTTAACTCAAAAGGAATTACAATTATTTTACCAACGTTTGCTTTGGAGTTAAACATAGTTACTACTGTAGTTTTATACTGGAAATACAGTCCGTTTTTTTCTCACGAATATAACTCATTCACTCGTAGTGTATGAGTAGTTTTTCTGAGTACCCTTAGCAAACCTTTGGTCTGTTAATAACTATTTCAGTAAATGAAATAACAAGTGTAGTAACGATCAGCCCTATCCGTAGTCAAGTCCAATAGTGACCTAAACGTAATTCAAATTTCAACTAACTTGCACATGTAATATTAGCCAGAGAGATAAAAAAAGTTACAAAATAAGGTGTAGACAGCCATCTACAATAGTATGAAGCAAATAAAAAAACTTGCACAAACTGAACACACTTTACATGCTAATTTTGCAGTTCAACAAAACCACTACAAAATGGCGGCAACATTGCACTTGCAGAATTCAAAGGAACTTTAAAGCGAGATATTCATTTTGAAATAACAATGGTACTGGGATTAGCCTGTTCCGGGCTCTCAGATAGTAAAGATGACGCGTAAGTAAAAGGCGCGCGAAAATATGAGCGCGCAATGTGGGAAAAGGGGGCGGTGGCGGATGGCGGGAAACCTCTCCCCAGTTTCCCACCCGTTACGCACTTTCTCAATATCACAGACCCGACTACCTCGGGGCCTGGAACAGGCTATACTGGGATCGCTGCACGCGATGTCACGTTGTACACATTCATGGTAAAAAGATATCATCAATGTCAGAAATTACGATGAACATCCTGGTTGCAACTTGGTGTTACCGATCCGCCGTACGGAAAAAGATGGCGGCTGTACATTTTACCACAATTCCTTTCGAACCTAACACGGCCAATTACACATAATGTCATACTTCGGGGGCGAAGTTCGTCCCTGTAATGGCAACATTGCCTATCCTTGGTTTAAAGTTTATAAAACTTTTCTGTGCGTTTTTATGAGCAGTTCTATGGTTTTCATGCGCTAAGAACTGTGGATAAATGTACCAGTAGCCAGCTTTTTAGGTACGGTGGATTAGCACACATTTTTGTATATACTAAATAATATACAAAACAAAACAAGCAAAGGCTGATTTTACAGTTGGGAATATATATATGTTGGTAAAAACATATATATATATTCCCGACTGTAAAATCAGCCTTGCTTCTTTTGTTATATATTTTCACTTATTGCTCATTAGATCCTCTATTGGGATCCGGTCCATCTTTTTTGCAAGCTGGTCCTGGCTTCAAAAATTAAATAGTATACATTCGTGTTCTGCAACACCAAGTAATAACAAAATCTTAAACTTTTTGGCATTGTAGAGTACTTGTTTGGTGAGGAATGGGCACAACTACAAAATCAAGGGCTGCTATTTGCGGGCGACCAGAGGAGACCGTAATCCTAATCTGGATTAGGTGGTTGCTATTACGCATGCGCGTTACGTACGTAGCCAGCATTTTGGACTCCCACTTGGAATGCACAGAACGCAATCAGATATCCTTGACCTTCCATCACGGAGAACTTATGCAAAACAAAACGTTGGAGCAAAAGCGTTTCAACTTTGGATCGATCACGCTTGCCCTCCCTAGCCTAATCTTCTGTTATCAATTGTTATTTCATGTGGCATGGCAGCTCGCCAGTCCCTACAGAAAAGACACACGGAGCCACAGAGCGGCTCAACCACCCCCATCCCACCTTTGACCTTTTTGTAATGGTGAGACTCCAACCTCGATTCAAAAGACATAGAGCCGTTAACCCACTAAAATGCTTGCCTAACTTACCTGGAAGGGGGGGTTGGTTCACTCAAGGAAAGTTTGGGTAGACGTGTAGCGTCCTTACGCCATTTATTTCGCTGCCCGGTATAAGACAAGCGTCTGCTAGAGCACAGCCCTGCTTTTCCTCTTTCTTTTCTGCTCACAGTCTACGCGGCACATACCCGTTCTTTAAACATTCATCATGACTAGCTAACCGGCAAGCCACCTCTGTCAAAGTCTTTACAATATGGCCCTGTATTTTGTAGTTGCTTCAAGAAATGTTAAGGGATGAGAAATAAAAATTTACAGGTTGATATTGGTTACTAGTAATGTTGCTGCACTAACACAGGACTACCAACAATTAACTATGTCTACTTGAAAACGTTTCTGTAGGTTGTATGTACATTAAGGCAATATTCCTAATATGTATACCTAATGCCATTATCAAAATGGTTATTAATATTTGTCTTTATAAAGCTCTAAAAACTGTTACATTCTCTGTATAGAAAAATATACCTGCAAGTATAAGAAAGCTCACTGAGTGAATGGTAAAGATTTCCTAACACGTTACGGTCAAACCACCCCTTGCATTAACAAAAGAGATGTGTAAACAAGTAGCTGTAACTTATGAACTCAAGGATGAAATCTGAAATGTGTCCATTTAAATGACAGCTTCTGAGCAGTACTTTGCTGAGGAACTGTTTATTTTGCTCTACAAGGTGGTTCTCTTTGGATAAAATCCTTAGGCGTGAACGGTCATATGAAAGCTACCGAGCAGTATTTTCCTGTGGTACTGTTCATTTTGCTACACAAGGTGGTTCTAACATTTGACAAGCACAAGAGCAATTGTAAAATGCCGACAGGGACACGGCTTCCTCCTCAATACCTGAAATGATGGGTTTTGAAATTCAGATTAGGGACACACGTACCCACTCCAAGGGGGCCTCGATGGATGGAGTGGCGGATCCAAGGAAGGGGCCCGGGGAGCCCGCCCCCCACCTTTATTTTTAGACCAAACAAAAATTTTTTTGGAGACCAGGCTCCCCCCTTATCTGAGGGGTCTGGATGACCGGGCCCCCCTTTAGCTCAAGGTTTGGATCCGGCACTGGGGTGTCCAGTAAGTAAACTCTGATTTTTATTTGACATAAGGAGGGGTTAGACATTTTCTTACCTCTTCACCATGGATGGTCATCAATCCCTCACAGGGGCAAAGGTGAAGCACGAAGGTGAAGATCCTATCGTCCTGCTGGAATGGTTCTGTGTTGTTGATGGACCAGCAAGGGGTGACCTTGGAGGAGTAAATTTTGGCCGACAAATAGAGAAGGGGTGTCTATGAATCTCTCCAAGTACCATGGGCGTGGTATTCAGTGATGATGATGACGATGATGAGTCTGATGCCGAGGAGCTGTGAGGATCTTCGTGTATGTGGTTATCATCATCAAAGTTTAGGTGCTCTGAGTCGATGTCAGGTGAACAGTTTATGGGTGAAATGTCGCAGAGGCGCTTTGATGGGCTTACACCTGGTTCAGTTATGCCTTCTGTTGGACCTGGGTAATCAAGACAAAACAATAGGGACCTTGAGATCCAAGGATGACAATGGCAGCGAAAACGCCGCTTAAAAAGTGAACTCGCGTTCTCTCAACCTTTATTCCCTTAGAGTTTTGTGGTTGCTTGTTTACATCCTCTACAGGTTGGGAAATTAGACATCTTCATGTCGTACTCATGCAGTGAAGAAAATGGCAAAGAAATGTGCAAGAAAAGCATGATGCATGGGCAAAGTTGTTGTTTTGCTTAAACCTAATACTTTTTTGACATTCTCGCCGTCACCAGATCTTAAGATCCCTAATGTTTTTAAGACCTGTTTAACAGACCAAACACTTTAAGAACAAACAGTGTTCAATGACATTGGGAAACGAAGGATGAGGAGCACCCTGTGAGTGGAGAAAAACCTTACTTATCTATCTTGTTGAAGGTGGCAAAAAAGGGGCTCTGCCATACAACATGGAGTTCCTTTGAAGCCTACGTACCAAACCCCAATTTTTGGGCTGATAAGATCTGTTTTCTTTCTCATTACACTAGTTTTTCCAGGGCACACATCATTTAAATACCATATACGCAAAGTTTAAGCGTGAGTTTGCGCATTAAATCATGTTGCAAAACCTGTTCAAAACATAGCCAACAACTGACATGGCCCCAGCTTAATAACAACAAATGAAATGCTGGATGAAAAACAACTGAACTAATAATTATTCAAACCCGATTCAACATCATTCAACACTGTCTAACAAGGATTTGCAGCAGATCCATTATATCAATATTTCAACTTCATTTTATTCACACTTAGGTATTCATATTGAGTTCAAAAGTGGAGGAAACTTATTCATACTATATTTTGAGTTCATAAGAAAGAGAAATAGACAGAGCATTACCGTGATATTATACTTCTTAAGCCCAGGAGACATGCATAGTAAGGAAGAAATGGTCTTCTAGTCTGAGGGCCTGTTTACATGGAGGTGGGAGACCCCACTTGGGTGAAGTAACCAGCTTTGGTGGGGCAACCCGCCTGTCATTATAATTTGATCACATTTACATGATAGGTGGGGTGACCCACCACATGTTACCTCACCTATCTGGGGTCCCCCACCTTCATGTAAACAGGCCCTAAGCAGGTGTAAAGTGTATTCTGGGCAAGACATTGGTGAAATTGGGCAAAAAATGGGTAACACCTAATCATGATTTACAAGGCATTGAAGTTGACTTACATTTTCTTTTTAATGATAAACTACTTGGTCGTAAGCATACAGGACTGAGACTTCTGCGCCTACAAAGAAAAAGTTAATTGCATAAAGTCCAGTTGGTCCCCATAATGACCTTACATATAATAACCCAAACCAATCCAGTCATTTCACAAAACAGCTCTTCGTCCATATAAAATTGTTTCTCCAAAAACACCTTAAAAAGTATCCCATAGATAGTCGTCCTGTAGCTTAAGTTTTTGTTTTCTGCACACTTTGCACTCAAGCAGGTAAGTAATCTGGCTTGAGGAAGCCTATTAATAATGCCCCCTGCTTCGTTAGGCTTCCTTATCACCTAAATTTACAATAACGTGCACATATTTATGCTAAGTTACACTGAACTTTTGATTTTAAGCCAAATGCAGTTAAAGCTCATGATCTAGTTTTTTTTCAAAGTATGTTCAGTAGAGTTGGAGCAAAAGGAGTTGTTATCATTCCCGGGTATACAGCTACTTCAAGAAAGGTTGTCAGAAAAAATGTGCATGTGAAAGGTAATATGGGATATGATCAATACTCTGTTCCTGACACTACAGCTGTCGAAGTTCTGACTTTTGTTGCCTTCCTTTAGCACTCACAAACATACATCCATGGCCTCTCTTGCCATTCTTTCAAATTGCTTTGAACAGCAGTGAACTCAAAACCACACACAATACCCTTTGGGATTGTCACATGCAGTTTATCTAACAACCTTTCTCGAAATAGCTGTATTTAGGAGCAAGGCTTTCATTTTAGGCCACTCACCCTCTGTACACAAAGCCAGAATATAATATCTGTTTATTTTATTCTTAAAATTGACAGCTGAGACAAACAATTTGCCCCAGTCTCCTCTTAAAGCATGAAAATAGAGTGAGTGAAAAATACAACAGCCTGGACACTACAGTCAAAATCAGGCCAAATGAATTACAGATTTGCCCTCACAAATACAGTCGAAGCTCTCGTAAGCGACTACATGGTAAAACAGAGGGTGGTCGCTTACAAGTGCTTCAGAGAAAATGTTTATGTTTAATGAGTGTCTATATATCTGATATGACACGGCTAAACTTTATATCCAGTTTTTTAGACCAAAACAACCCCAAATCTAAATATTAGAATCATTAGCGCAGTGTGCACTTTCATTAAAGTGTTGATTTGTACAAATGTGATGCTGAGTGGTCACTTATGAGAGGCTAAAAACAAAGGAAAAGTCTAGTCGGGTCATCCCAAAAGTGGTCACGGTCGCAGTGGTCACTTACCAGAGCTTTTCATTACAAAGTTTAAGTCACAACTCAAATGGGGTTTCACAAAGGTGGTCGTAGCTACAGCTGGTCGCTTACGAGAGTGGTCACAAGGAGAGCTTCGACTGTAGAAATAAAAATTCTTCTTTTGACACTTACGTAAAAGTTGGTCGAGTAGGACTAGGTATTGGACTTGGAGTGAGGCTTCTTGCATTTCTCATGGTCACTCCCTGGCAGAAGAATTCAAACAGATAAAAAGCATATTACTCTTTAGAACTCTCAGATGAAAAAAAGATAGGCTTCAAATATTTCAATTTCCTGGTAAAGAGTTTGTTTTACCTCTTCTTGACAGTACAATCAATAAGCTGCCTGGCAACCTTTTAATCAGTATATTATCTAATATCAGATAACTAGTTTAAATGTACGTACATATGTGTGCACCACTTTTATGGTTGAAATGACAAGACTGAAAGATTGGAATTTCCCAAAATTGATGTTTTTTTTAGCAGGGGAAGCTTTATTTTACTTTTTTTCACCAAAAAATCAGCATGGATATCTTTATTGAAGGAGGTTAAACCCTCATCTTAGAACCTAAAGGTCTCTATTGTTTTAATCTTGTTACAGCATCCTCAGCTGCCTTTGAGGTTGTTCTCACTGCACCCACTGGTACATGTATTTACCCACTTTAGTGCACTAAATTGCAAAAACTTATAGTTACAATAATCTTTGGTTATTGTTATGGGTGAAGGATTTAATCCAGGAAAATGAGTGGGCATCTTCATGAACAGTTGAGCCAACAGTTTTGAGGCCAAAATGGTTAAAGAATCATTTTTCATCCACAGGAGAGCCACCGAGTTGAAACCTTGTGGGTGTGGTAGTAACTGAATGGAAACGACAGACACTGAAGAGCACTTTTTTTTCTGTTACTACATCCCTTCCTTTTCTTTTTTTGCAATATCTGCATTGTATTCAGTGTTCTTACCACGATTTTGTACACTGGAGTGCACAGGACCCATAAAGAAGCTAAAAGGGGGTAATGAGGGAGAAAAGCCGATCACAATCTTTAGGTACAGTTAACTCAATGTTTTCATAGGTCCGAGTCTTAGACAATGATGGCTATTTTCTTAAGACGCCATAACCAATTAAATTTTGGCCTATATTATAGGGAAATGTACGTATGTGTATGCATGCTTAAGTATGTTTTGTGATAAATTTCTTTTCCTTCTTTGTGCCCTTGGGACCCCTTGGGCTAATCATAGTGCAGCATTTCCCAAAAAAGTGCGGCAATGCCAGAATGCCGCCATCTGGTAAGAACATTGTGTATATTATACAGATACAACAGTTGGTTAAGTACTCACTCTCTGATTGGGTGGTGATGATGAAGATGGTGATGAGAATGGTTGTCTCTGATCATCAAAAGAGTTTCTTCGTTCGTACATATGAATGTCATTCTTATCAGGATCCTAGGAGAAAGGACAATCTGTTAGTATGTTATAATTATATTCAAATTACTAACAAAGTAAATTCTTACACACTCAGCTTAAGAGATAGAATTTAACCATGCCAGCATTGTTCAAAAACTTTATACATATGGTAACTTGGTTTTAAGGCCACCACCTAACTAATAGACCTCATTATCAATACCTGCCATCTTTGCACGTGCTTAAGGAAGGAGGACCTTAGATAACAATGACCTCAACCAGGTTGGTGTCCAGCTGTTTCAGTGAAAACAAGGGTTTGGGTGGGGTGCTCAGTCTCGTGGGCTCATAAAACCTAGTCTCGGTCGTTCTTATTTAACCCATTCACTCCTGGAGATTTTGCCGAACAATGCGTTTTGAAGCTAGTCGAGTGGTTTTCTGGTCACTGTTGTGCTATAAAGGGCTAAAACTTACCACAAACTGGTTTGCAGGTCGTACACTTCGCGGCCTTCTGATCCAGATGCAAAATATCAGCTTGCAAAGTTCGGGCATGCGCAGAAAGCAAAATTTTGAGTTTTTGGGTTTAAAAGTGACACAGCAGTCTTGACTTTTACTTTTCGCTTTCTCTCCTCCCTTCTCTTGCTGGGCATTTAGTAGGCTTCATTTCGGTGGGAATAGTTTTTAGGAAAGCTTTTAGGATCTTAGGATTAGGTGAAAGGAAAGGTAGGTGAGTAATGGAACAAGATTTTCATGGAGATTTTCGGGTCAGTGTCACATGGTTTTTTGCTTCTTTCTCCGGTATCCTTGGCTGAATTGTGCTCATTCTGGTATGGTTTGAAAGATCTCTTCACTCTGCACAAGTTAGCAAAGAAAGTTGTCCTTGACCGTTAAAACTGATGATGTCACAAAGGGTAGAAAGGACCTGGATCCGCACGGGCAGTTGCGGGCGGTTCAGGGGCGAATGGGTTAAGGAATGATGGGATAAAAGCGATCTCAGGTAGTTTCTCAGGGGGCAACCAAGTGATAAATTTTTCCAATACAAGAAATTGTGGTTGAGTTTGTTTATTCTTGACAACAGAAAATGAACAACTGTTTATTCTAAAGACGATAATGACAACTTATGGGTGGAAGTGATCACTGTTATTTTTTAATGCAGTGACAACTGTAGATGTCCTCACAGCAAGCAACAATGGCCTTAATTTTGTTGAAGCTCAAACCATACATTTTGCATGACTATTAAATTGTCGTTTCGCTTTGAGAGAATAAACAAAGTCGACTGTGATTTTACCTTTTGTTTAGCCCCTGAAATACCACGTAACATTGCTTCTATCCCATCAATCCTAAAGCGCGTGCAAAGATGGCGGGTATCGTGAATAAGGTCTATTAAAACAGGGCTCAAAAAAGTCCCACCTGGTAGTTCAGGACAAGTAGATTTTCTTGCTGGGCAAGTAACTTTTAAAGCTTACTTGCCCAATAGGAAAGGGTCCAGGAAAGTGATCCTCTAACAAAATCATTCACTAAGAAGGGCAAGAAGTGGCCCTGGGCAAGCAAAATTAGGGAGCTGCTTACCCAAAGGACAAGCTGAAATTCATTTTTTGCTAGCCCTGCAAAAGTGAGCATATTGTGAGTCAGTCTTAACACAATTTTACTGGAATAGACACTTACCAGTAGGGTCCAGTCACTGAGAGAATGCGAAAGAAGAAGTTCACTGAGAAAGAGAGGGGAACAAAATGTTAATTCTTAGCAATAAATGACTAACCCTGAGGAAAATGGTGATTTTTTTCCCCGAGACCCTTGATGTTCCCTTAGGTGAAACCAAAGCAGGAAACACCACTTACTGTTTTCAGTGGAGATAGGCAAGATTATTTGCTTGGGTCAAATACACAGGGTTCGTACAGATTCTTGGATCCAAAATACAAGACTTTTTCCAAAGCAATAATTTCTTTTTCCGGACTCACGGTTATCAAATAGGTGATCAAAAGAGAACTTTCAAAAAATGAAGGAACAAAGCTTTTTCCATGATGCGCTGCAAACATACAAGTGAGATTGAATAAGATTTGACCAGCACGAAAAAAACTTTCACCAGTAAAGCACTTATTGTAACTTTCAAGACAACTCAAGACTTTTTACCATTTTTTAAGACTTTATCTCTATTTTCCAGACTTTTTCCAAGTGTGGGAAATTGTTGGGCAAATTTCAAGACTTTTTCAAGAATTTAAGACTCTGGATGAACCCAGTATACATACATTTCCCAAAGTTTAAAGATACACAAGCTGGTCATGTGTGAGTCTAACTCCGCTGGGACATGGTTAGAGAGTTTTGCTCTGACTAAAGGCCTGTTTACATGGAGGTGGGGAACCCCAGGAAGGTGAGGTAACCCGCTTAGGTAGGGTAACCCACCTTTCCACATAATCTCTCATTTTAATTTGATCACGCATTCATGTTAGGTGGGATGACCCGCCACATGTAACCTCACCTATCTGGGGTCCCCCACATCCATGCAAACAGGCTCTAAACAGTCTTCATTTTCTAGTCATCATTTCACCATCCCTACTTTTGTTTTTATTTTAAAAAAAGAGGGTCACCTAAGAGTTCATTTATAGAGGGCCTTAGATGAACAGTCATACCACACACCTTTGTTTACAAAGAATATTTCATACATGTCTTTAAGACTGATTCTCAGACTCTGGGTGGAGAAGATAAGCTTACGTTTTGTAAATTATCAATAAACAATATTCCAAAGTATCAAAATGTTTAGAAGCTGCATTTGGAATATAACTATAGGCAATAACTCTAATAACTTAGAGAGAGAAAGATCAATTAAATGAAAATATTTTTTTATTCAATTTGTTTTGTAAATTTACCTCTTCCATAATTTGAAAGCAATTTTAGTTTTGGTAGCTTTATTTTGCATCAAGGACTTGAAATTGAGCTAAAGTGTCTCAAATGTCTCTCAAAGCTAATTTCTGATACTTAACTGTAAACTGTAGCAGGAACGACTTATTAGAGGGTTTTAATAGCGGACAACTTAAAATGCAAGGTGGATAATTTTCAGGTATTGAACATTTATGCGTTGCCGGTCGACCAAGTTTAAGTTACCTTCCAACTTGTTTCTCCAGACTAACATCATCTATACTTGCTTCCTAACACGATAATAAACAAAACAATGCGTGTTAATACCGTTTTTATTTTAGCTTGACAATTTTAAAAATCGGAAACTTCAGCCTTCTAAAACACTAAGACATAAAAAATAACTTAATAACGATAGCTAAATAAGAAATGAATGGAAGGCTTGCTAACAAACGGCAGAAAGCAACAACTCTCAATGAAGCAATCAACTGAAATTACAGTGTCTAAAGCCAGGTCCCCGATACATTGTACTCACTCGTTTGATCTGCTCTATTCTTGACGCGGGAGATCCCTAAAAAACGGATAAATGCAGTTTACAGTCAAATCATCGATCACAAGAACGGCACAAAGTCTATAGAATCAATGAACGTCCTTTGACATTTATTCGCGGAATTTTTACTAACCACATTCACAGCCATTTGGCTTGTAGAGAAGCGTCTTTGTCTTGAGGTGTGTATCGGCTGGAAGATAGGAATAGCCTCGCTCATTACTGCTGCGCTTACATTTGGCGCTGAATTAGATCGACGCAGCGTATTGGAAGGCAAATGCCCCAAATCATCGGTTTCCATTGCATTAGCCGCCATTTTGCTCTTGGCTCAAAGACAACATCTGCAAGCTCGCAAGGGATTGTTCCGGTCGGTGGCTTCCGCTCGGGCCAGTCTTAAAAAAGAATAAATCGCGGACTTCCGCCACAGAACGACCTTGTTGATCAGATGATACATCACGAACAGTACAAAGTTCTCTGAAACCAATATCAATTGCCAAATTCTGATGTAAAAAACGGTGAAGTAAATACTGTGTTTGGTTTTTCATTAACAATTAGCGAGTTTATCATGTTTCCTTCATGAACGCTTACTGATCATTCAAACATTGACGTCAAAAATGTCGTCAACTATAGTCATTTAAATCTAATTCACTTAACAAAGCTATTTACGAAATCGAAATTGATAGTTGACACCAAGAGTCAGCTGGTCATTCAGTGCGTTCTTCACGACTACGTCGTGGTTTTCAAGTACCCATCCGACCACATTCTGCATGAAGATCACAAAACTCGATGGAAGGTCTCGCAAACACTAGCCTCCCACGCGGACATTCTTAGGGCTTCGACACGCGGAAAGGAGCTCGTGAAAAAGCCTTATAAACCTCTGCAAGGGAGGCTACGCCGAAACCTTTCATGACGAGTTGCTTTCTCGTCCCAGATCTCAAAACTCTAGACATGTTTTGGGGTGAGAGATATGTGTGCGCGTGTGGGAAGGGAGGGGTAAGGGATCTTCTGTCCATGTATATAGGACGTGCCGCCGTATATCCAGGTATGGTTTCTGTCTGAGTGGTGGTGGTGTTGGGTTGGAATCGAGGATGACTTCTTGCTACCTAATAAAACTGACCGGGTGCTCGTCCGATGTTTTCGAAAACACTTCTAAAAGGCAAAAAAAATTTCATTTCATAGGCGTGGCTTACAGGTCGACACATCTTTCAGCCGAAGAAGCCACGCTTTTGTGCGGAAACACTGTACACAGTTTTCCCCAGAGTTGTACTTACGCGATGATCGGTCTTTATTGGTTTCACAGAAACCATTGTTGGATATATATTGTTTTTTTTTTGTGGGTTTCGTTCAAAGTCTTTTTAATCTTTTGTGTTACGTCATTTGATGATCGAACGCAACCGCAACACAAAGAAACTACCATGATGATGTCAATCTTTTCCGTTATGCTTTGTTTTTCAAATTAACCAATCCCATTGAGGTTATTGAGTTTTTATAAAACTTAAAAGGCTGTGGTTTGTTTGACAGTGCTGCATGCCAAACCGTTTCCTCTGGGATGAAGTTGTTGTAAACTTTTTTATAGGTTTTGAAAACCTTTGTTCGCCTTGTTGCCTAGTCCCTGTAGGGCGTCTTCCCAGCCCTTCTCGGTCAATTAATTCCACTGATGAAGGGCCAGGAGCCCGTTTCTCGAAAGACCCGGTAACTTTACGGGCCCGAAATCAAATATTCCAATCGAAATATAAAGAATAAGAGCGCGGGTCCTGGCTAGCAAACTACTCCATTTTGTTTCATTAACTGACAGTTTTATCGTGTCAGATAAAAAACTATTGAAACGTCGATCTTTAATGTAAACGGAGACAGCTTACCGGGCCCGTTAATTATCGGGACTTTCGAGAAACGGGCCCCAGGCCCGAAACGTTTGGAAAGGATAACTTCAACCCAAACACGGCACTTTTGTCCATGATTTATTTATTATTTTTAATGAACATTTTTTGGTTACTTCTATTTTCTAAAGTGCTACGCAGCTTAACGGAAATTCTTTCGTCATTTGTTGTCCGCTCGGTCAATGGCCGCTCGGAAAATGTGACCCGAAAACACACAGGCCGCGCGGAATAATGAGGCCTGGGGACTTAGCAAGTCACATCGCCCGAAGACAGGGGGTGTTGTCGTGTCATTTGAAAGAAAGGAATGGAGGCATTTCATAGAAAGATTGGACATGCCCTCATAGAGTCAAGATTTTCGATTTTTCTATCGAAAAATGTCTCTTGCAAAGTGCTCAATATTTAGATTTATTAACAATGGGTCCTTTGCACAAAACGGTTGCATGGTACAAAAACACCTTGCTGGAGGGAAAACAGAGAGTCTCAATGGGGTGATGGCTTTGACGGTTATCGGCTAAGATTTTGGCTCTTTTATGGCTATCGGTTAACTTTTTTCAGTCACGGTTAACGAAAAAGTTAAAAATTAACTTCTTTTGTTTCAAAAAGTTAAATATTAATTAACCCCTATTTTTTGTATCTTTAAGTCAAAATAAAGGTCCTCGAATCACCTCGGGATGAAAAAAGCTATTCTTTTGAAAAATTTTAACATTTGATAGATCATACTTTCTATAAAGTATTCCACTTCTTATATTATTTTACACATCGAAATGTCAATAGACAATTTAAAAATAATCTTTGTGAAAAAGCAAAAGCAAACACGCAAACGCCCAACCAAGGCCGGGGCGCGACATTCATAAAAACAGAAATGGCCGTTTTCACACTAGAGAAGGATTATTCGCATGAGACGGGTTATTCGTTTGATGATTCGCGTCAGATAGGTAATACGTTTTAATTTGAAAATAGAATGGAATGAAAATGGAATTTTGACTGAACAATCCACCTGACTTTTGACGACGGGATTATCCGTTCCAGATGGCCTTTGTACAGCCGCCCCCTCCCCTCATAAAAAAATCGGAGAAGGGGTGTCTGTGGGGGAGGGGGCGACTGTACACAGGCTAGTCTTGGACGGATGATCCATTTCTAGCTCTAGTGTGAAAACGGCCAATAACAAAATTCCAGTGTCCAGTGCTTTTAATGATAGCGAAAGACTGCACGGAACGACTGTCTTCCGTTGCCTTGTCCGTAGGCCGCATTATTCCGCGCGGCTAATGCGTTTCGGGTCACGTGGTCCGAGCGAGTTCTCCACCGAAATTCGTGTTTCGTGTTTCGAGGGCAAGACCTCCAAAAAATTGCAAATATTAATCCCCAGCAAGAAGCCACACTTTCGCTGTGGAAAAAATTAGTTCCCCGAGAGAGCGCCGGAAATGGAGCCTAGGTTTTGGTTAACACGTAAAAGGCGCTTCGCCTAACGTGCGCACGGAGTCGCACTAGCGGGAAATAAAAAACGCAACCATAAGTGAGTTTAGCACCTTCCTTAAAAGTAGCAAATCTAGCTACCAATTTCTTTTACGGTTAACTCATTTGTACCCTATTTACGGCTAACGGTTACAATTTTTCAATTTTTACGGCTATCGACTAAAGTTTTTGGCCGTTTTACGCCTATCGGTTAACCCCATTGAGACCCTCAAAACACTGTGGGATCTTGAAAGGATATAGTAATCATCATCATCAATCTTTATTTATACACGAAATCGTATCATTTTACATGGTCTTCCTAGGAATCGTGTTTAAAAAGTCCAACCTCCCATGTGCGACCAACCTAGTCAGACTTACAGTTGAAACTTCTCATAAAAGATTACCTCCTGTAGATCCTCCGCGGGCTGACAGTTTTATAACTCTCCTGTTTTTAAGCTCTTGTAATCAATCACCTGGACGTATGGTCTGATCTCTGTGATCGCTGAATGTACTATGCTACTTAGGATATAGGAAGAACTTTTTATGACAACACGGAACTACACATATGGCAACTCAGAAATTGTAGGGAATAAATTATCTTCCATAAAGATGTGTGCAGACCTCTTCTTGAAAGAGATGGCCCTGTGGTTCTATTCTTGTAAAAAACCGCTTCCCGTAAGCGATCACTAAGTTATCGCATTTTTGGTGGTCGCTTATGGTAGGCTAGCCTGCGAACCGCAGACGTATTTCCGGTCGTCGCTTCTCTCCCTCCGAAAAATTCTTCGGAGGAAGAGAAGCGACGACCGGAAATACGTTTGGGGTTCGCAGGCTAACAGGAGGCTCGACTGTATTAACTTTCTGAATGAGGTCATCTGTTTGTTTTTCTTGCCTCACGGCGTCGTTTGCCATCCAGTAACGTGTTTTTGTTCTATGTGACCGTTTCGTGCAAAGGCCCATTGTTCTTCCCTCGCACCCTAGTGGGAGGAAGACACTAAATAAAAAGGATGGGGATACTCTTCGGAGAATAGGAATTACGGGAAAACCCTAAAGAAGAGCAATCTTGGCATGGCCAAGGATTTATTTGACCCCGGATGGAGGCTGAAATAAAAAGGACAACCATTTAAGACTTAAGTAATTTTAATGGTGCTTCCATTGACTGACAGCGCCTGCTATGTTTTATAAAGATATTTTTTGCGCAGAATCCTAAGCGACACCTTTATGAGTAAAAATAGTGGTGTTCCGTCCTGAACATTCTAAGAGGGATCAAAATCTGCAATTTACACTCCTAAGCGAGAGTAAGAGCCCAAATGAGCTCCTGACGAGAGGAGGATCATCCCCGTCTTCTTATGGGAGTCCCTCTGGGCCTCGGACAATGGCCCCTGTGCATGATTACGTCAAACGAGCAAATGTCACCCCCAAATTTAGGGTCCTTTTTGCTCCCTTTAACTCTGAAAGTGGAGTAAAAATTTTAGGTACAGGATTGCTCCTTTTTGGGGGTTATTTTAACTCCTCAATATCTGGGGTGATTTTTACTCCGGAAAAAGAGTACTTTAAACTCCATTTGGAGTTGAAATAACTCCCTCAAAAAATAACTCCACTGTAAGGAGTTAAATTAACCCCAGTAGAGGAGTTATTGTAACTCCTTGAAAATTACTGTGCACTAAGTCTTACTTGTAAACAACATTGTCAAATCGGCACTGTTTCTGAATGAGTATTTATTCAGCTTTTCTTCACTGGCAGTACATTCATTTAAAACGTCGCATCGTTACTATCGGAAAACAAGGGTGGAGGCGAAATATGCCAGGCATGCATGACTTCAACATTTATAAGGGTTATTTTAGTCCGTCTACACGAGATGGTTGAGAAACATGTATTAAACATTCTAATTTAATGCCGTTCACTTAAAGCGCTCTACGCGGAGACGTTTGTGGCTATAGTACTTACATGAAATTTTTCTCTACTCACACTACTTGTACGTGTCACAAATTGACGCATTCCAGGAAATTTTCAAGGAATCCCTTAAATATATCAGAATTAAAGTTATTTATCTGACTGTGCGAAAGCGGCTTTGCTTTAATTTCGCTGGAGGTGTATAACGACTACTTAAGTCACTTTTATAAGGGAATCCTCTACGTGCATGGCCTTCATTAATTCTCTTTCTGCCAAAGACTTGACAGGCACCATTTACAATACAACATCTTCTACAGTTCATTAACGCATTTTTTTCTGTGTTTTTTCTCTTCGGCTTTCAGTCCTTCTCCGTTTCCTTATCCACGCCAACATTGACACTTTCTTGGGGCTTAGCTGATGATTCAACAGCACTTTCCGGGTCGACTACAGATTCACTGTTGTCCGCACCACAGTCAAATTCAACATCTTCAGCAGGCGAATTTGCACCAACTTCGGGTTGTGAATCAGTGCCACGCTTTTCCTCGACTAGTGATTTGTCGTTATCTGACTCACCATCACTTTGAACATCTTCAGAAGCCTGGTCCTCGGTGCTGAGTGCAGCCTTTTGCTCGGAGTTGACTTCTTCTAAAATTTCACCAGGTTTCGAGCTTTCATCAGTGGTTTCTTGCTTTTCCACAGCATCTGTCGCTGTTAAAAACCCATCGCTCTGAAGCGATGTTTCATCAGGTTTCAAAGGAGATAGAGGCTTCTCTTCACTATCAAGCGCTGTCTCTGTATTTGACGACTGCGGTGAATGATTCGTGGACGCGAAAGTAACATTAGGCATGTTCGAGCTTGAAGGTGCCCTTTGTTTCTGGGATTCACCACCATCACTTTGTCCATTAAATCCAAATGAAAACTCTGCGCCGGTCGATGTTGGGCCAGATCCAAAAGAAAATCCAGCACCAGAGGAGGAGGTACTTGTTCCAAACGAAAACCCTGCACTGGAAAACGACGGACCTGAACCAAATCCAAACAGTGGCTTTCCTTCGTTCTTTTTCTCAAGGCTTCCGTCAACACCAGGCTTTGCACTTGCGCACGCTACACATTCCAACTTCTCACTTTTGTTTCTCACCAAACAGGTATTACACTCCCAGGATCCCTCTTCGGGTTTCCATCCTCCCAGAAGACCCACACCGAGGCCTTCCTGCCTTTTTTCTCCTCCTTCCCCACCAACAGTAACCTCACCTTTCTCTGAAGTCTGTGAAGAGTCATCTCCGCAATTACTGCCTTCATCACTGGATGCTTGATCATCTGAGTAATTACCACCTTCGCCTTCATCATCAACCCTTACTCCAGTATTCTCTTCTTTCTGCGTGGAGCCAAAACTGAATGGCCCAGTGGAGCCTAAGCCAGAGGAGAAAACCGGTTTACTGCTTTTTTCATCTGCCTTTTGCTGACCAAATACGAAACCAGTTCCAGAAGATGAAGAATCTGAGCCAAATGAAAATCCTTGACTACAAGCTGAAGCAAATCCACTTCCAGCATCAACATTAGATGCAGGAGATCCAAAAGAAAATCCTGAATTCGATGGAGCACCAGCTGTCCCAAACGAAAAAGAAGGTGTCCCTCCATTGGCTGGCATTTGTGATGTTTGAGCTCCAGGTTTTGGGGTTGTGCACGCTGCACACACTAACTTATCACTGCCGTTTCTCACCATACAGGTATCACACTCCCATGATCCTTCTTCAGCTTTAAACTTCGCAAAAAGATCTTCTTTCACGCCCTCGGTATTGACAGTCTCCTTTTGGAGTGGCGGCTTCAATGATGCCTGGTTCTTAAGCATTTCCTGGCATTCTTCAAACTTTTCTTTGAATTGCTTGGCAATGTCTTCGTTCTTAAACCTGACAGCTAGTCGCTCTGCTTTGCATTCCCCCTCAGAGAAGTCTGCATGTGTACTCCAAACCCACGATCTCTCTGAACCTGCATTTGGCTGTAAACTCATGTCAGTGGTTATCTGATGATTCGCACACAGTTTCAACACCTGATCCCGCCGCATCAGCACTCGCATTTTTCCCGATGTTACATTTCTCAACAACTTGATATCTCCAATGCCGCGCTCTTTCCACTGTTTTTCCTCTGCTACAAAGCGATATAACTTGGATCGGTGAGAAAACATGACCTCCTCGTCTTCTTCCCCTGTTTTTACGTCAATTTTCTCTGGTAGAGCAATGATTGGTTCAAAGTGTGGTCCATCATGATCACCCCCTTGTTCTTCCTCTTCGTGTGTCTCCCCTCCAGGAGACTGAGAAGCAAAAAGCGTCGATCCAGCTCCAGCAAACCCCTTGGATTTTGTTTTTGCGTTCTGTCCAAATGGACTGTTTTCGATCGAAGCAGCAGCTACTGACTGAAAGGACATTGCAGAGATACTTGGAGACCCAAAGAGAAATGCTTTTTCCTCACTCGACTCTTCACTTTTGTTTTTCTGGGGAGCCTCACTGCAAAAGTTAGTGTGTAGAATAATTACAACAAAGAAACATTAATAGTGCCCTCCCAAGAAGAATATTATTAACGAGAACAATGATCACCTCATTTATTCAAAGGGACCAAACGATTCAGTTAAATAATTGCTGGATGATAATAGACCCACTAAAAATATTGGCCTACACTTTGAACTACTAATTTGTTCGTAAACTAACAGGTGTATAACTTTACTTCTTGAAATGCATCTATCTACAACATAACATGGAAACAAGCAGTCACTTCTTAACCGGAAGGACAGTGAAATATTTCGAAAATTCTACACGCTAGATACTGAGTATACCATACTGGACGGTTGTGCTATGAGTTAATGCCTTCGGAGCGCTTTTTCGGCTCGTGCGTCCAATCAGACTGACTCGGTAGTCTGGCAAATCAAATGAAAATCTCTACATTCATTTACGTGTCGTTTGAGCACATTACGCATTACCTTTCTCCAAATAATGTCATCTCAACCTTTTCTCCCTCTCCAGCACCCGTGTCAGCAGTAAGTACATTATTCTTCTCTCCATTTCCCAGCTGCTTATTGTCTACATCAGGCGTTTGCTGATCCGTCTGAGAAACATCGATGTAGTCTCCAGAAGCTTGCTCTTGAATAGTCGTTTCTAGTTGCGTCATTGAACCAAATGTGGTTGCAGTTTCTGAGCTTGAACTTGCAGTCAGGTTCGATGATCCAAAGGAGAAAAACGGTTTTGCACCTCCTTCATTTGTTCCAGTGGAACCCAATACAAATCCTTTTGGATAGAGAGTTGCACCTGATCCAAATGAAAACCCTGTACCAGAAGATGATGTACCTGATCCAAATGTAAAACCTGTCCCAGACGATGTGATTCGAGATCCAAAAATTGGCTTTCCTTCTGACTGTTTCTCCTGACTATCCTTTATTCCTGGTTTCGGGCTTGTGCACGCTGCACATACTAACTTATCACTGCCGTTTCTCACCATACAGGTATCACACTCCCATGATCCTTCTTCAGCTTTAAACTTCGCAAGAAGATCTTCTTTCACGCCCTCTGTATTGACAGTCTCCTTTTGGAGGGGCGGTTTCAGTGATTCCGGGGTCTTCAGCTTTTCCTGGCATTCTTCAAACTTTTCTTTGAATTTCCTGGCAATGTCTTCGTTCTTAAACCTGACAGCTAGTCGCTCTGCTTTACATTCCCCCTCAGAGAAGTCTGCATTTGTACTCCAAACCCATGATCGGTCTGAACCTGCATTTGGTTGTAAACTCATGTCAGTGGTTATCTGATGATTCGCACACAGTTTCAACACCTGATCCCGCCGCATCAGCACTCGCATTTTCCCAGATCTTGCATTTCTCAACAATTTGATATCTCCAATGCCTCGCTCTTTCCACTGCTTCTCCTCTGCGACAAAGCGATACAACTTAGCTCGATGTGAAAACATAACCTCCTCGTCTTCTTCTCCAGTTTTTACGTCAATCTTATCTGGAAGAGGTATAATGGGCTCAAAATGTGGTCCATCAGGGTGATTACCGTCTGCTTCAACTCCTTCGCTATCATCCTCCGTTTTATGGGTGGCAGACAATTGGGACCCAGCACCTTTTAACCCTAGAGACTTGTCAGGCGTCTTCTTGCCAAATGGGCTGGCAGTTAAAGAGGAAGCGGCTACAGACTGAAAGGACAATGAAGCCACACTGGCAGAGCCAAACAGAAAACCTGATTGGCTAGGTATGCTTGGTGCCGATGTTGTCACTTCTGGGATTTCTGTCGTCTGTCCTTCGGCACTGAAAAAGAAAACCATTCTCCTTATTAATCATGCTAAACTGAACTTTACAACTCATCAACGCAGAAACGAATTGCAGGTTGTAGATGTCATAAAGGCGACCTTTCAGAAAGTTCTGTTGCCTTAGTTTAGGCATCACATGCTCCAAAATAAAATTGTGGTGGGTGAAATTCTATGTGGACACGAAAGGCGAGTCCTAAGGCACAGGCAAGTTGCAATAGCCTCGAGAATGGCTAGAAGCGAAAGTGATCAAAGTAGTAACACACCAGATTTTGCAAGAATAAAAATGTTCAACATCATCACCGCCCCCCCTCCCCCCGCCTCACCTTAAAAAAAGAACAATAAAAACGTTTAAAGCAATAACATTAAATAAAAAGGTTGGTTCCTCGGCTGTTTGCCTCCTGCTAGTTTGGGGTTTTAATCCTGTTATGTTCTGCTCGGATGATTTGTTTCTAATCACTTGCGTGGAGTGCCTGTAAACTAGAAAGTATCCGCAGTGCACTTTCCATTATAAACAAACCTTTAACCTTTATCCTTGAACGTAACAGAATACACAGGCTAAATAATGAGCCTCTATTCTAAGTAATAACAATTTCTTAGCAACGAAAAACACCAGTTGCAGAATTTAGCGTACATACCTGCCGAATAAACGATAGTAAAAGTTCATGTGTTACTTCTGTTTAACGTGACAATATTGCCTCGCCACTACTTACCTTGCTGATACTTCAGCCTGATAAGAGATGGTCTCCTTCTCATATCCAAAGAAGTTGCAGGGCAGCTCCAACTTCTGTGCCCTCGCTTTTTGATCTTCTGTAACTATTTTCTCGAACACTACTGCAATGTCCTCCTCAGCTTTCTGTTCAGTTGCTTGGTCCGGATTATCCTCTGCATTTGACAAAGATGCCACAGAGTCACTTTTACATGAAAGAGTCTGGACAGCTTTGTAAAATACTTCCTTAAACTGATTAGCAACATCGTTTGATTTAAATCTTGCAGCCAGAGTTTCCGCTGTAGTTGTTTCCTCTGAGAAGTCAGCAAGCGTTGTCCACAACCAAGCTCTCGCAGAGTTTGGAAACGGTTTGAGTTGCATTTCTGAAGTTATCACATGATTTGCACAAAGTTTGAACACGTGTTCACGTCTCATTAGGATTCGATACCTTTTAGAACTTGCGTTAAGAAGTATTTTGATGTCACCAACTCCTCGTTCTTTCCACTGAAACGTACCACTGTCGTATCGAAACAGTTTACAACGTTCACAGAACAGTACCTCCTGGCCCTCCTCCCCTGTGCGGCATTCAACTTTATCAGGGAGTGGTATGAGTGGCTCAAAATATGGTCCATCATCGTCCCCACGAACAGGACTCGCTGGAGAAGTGTGTGACAATGGAGATCTGGGCTTTTGTGGTGGAGATCCAGGCGAAACTGTCATCCTAAATGTGAAGTCGCATGGAGCACCTGTGCCAAACGGAAGACCTGTAAACAGAGTATCTTGGGAATCTTGGGTTGAGGGTTGTAGTGTTATTATACCCTTCTTGCTCGGAGAAGACGTCTTACTTGGAGAGAGGTCAATCTCATCGTCTCTAGTATCTTTATCTACACTGGATTCTCCTCGCCCAATGGTGAAAAGCGTTGAAATATGTAGGCTCTTCCCTCCTGGAGGCTGGAAGGAGAAAGAAGTCGAGGCTTCTTTATTCAAGTTTTGGAATGTGTTTGGTTCCACCGAATCAACAACAGACACATTTGCTGTAGCCGTTTCTTCTCCTTGTTTGGAAGGTGGTTCAGTTTCTCCGTCGTTTGGTTTTAGAGAGTTACATGCCACGCATGTCGAATCCCCTGCCTTATTTTCAACATAGCACACCTCACAAGACCATGTGCCAGGAGCAGGAGCAAAATTTGAAAGAAACTGTTTATAAAGTTCGCAACCCATCGCCTTTTGATGTTCAGCAGGCGCCTTTTCCGGGGGATGACCTGACGAAAGTGGCTCTTTCAGTTCATCAAACACCTGTTTAAACTTTCCAGCCGTTTCCGCAGTCTTAAACTTGATGGCTAGTTTTTCCGGCTTTCCCTCACCTTCAGAATAATCCGCAGAAGTATACCAGACCCAAGAACGATCTGATCCAACATTCGGTCTGAGCTCCATTTCAGCAGTAATGTTATGATTAGCACACAATTTCTTGATTTGCTCTCGCCTCATGAGAACTCTTCCTCGCCCTGAAGTTGGATGACGTAATAGCTTCACTTCTCCAATCCCCCTTTCTTTCCACTGCGACGAGTCCCCATCAAACCGATACAGCTTTGCCCTCTCGGAAAACATCATCTCTAGACCTTCTTCTCCTGTGACAACTTGGATTTCTTCAGGCAGAGGAATAACTGGTTCGAAATGCAACTTATCGCTATCTTGTTCCTCGACCTCTTCAGCAGGTCCAGCGAAAAGCTGCTGGCCTGCTCCTTGAAACGGTTTATGGCTTGTCTTCGTTTGTGACTGAGAAAATGCAGTTTCACCTTGAGCTTTAAACGATGAAAACGTCAGTTGGCCAAAGTTAGCTGACTGTCCAAATACATGACTCGCCGCGCTGCTTGTCAAAACCGCTGAAGTAGCAGATGTACTGACTTGCTTTATGTCCGTAACCTCCTGTTTAATGGTATTGGCTGCCCTTTTTGGTGTACCACTACAACCAATGCACCCAGGGCAAGATTCGTGCTTGGTATAATTGAAGAAATTAGGCGGAAGAAAAAGGCGGTGGGCCTTTTCACGATCTGCCATTTGGGAACGGACTTCATAAACAAGAATACAGTCATCATCTTGCTTTTTAGATCCTTTTAGAGGACTTTTGGCTGTCAAAATACGTCTTCCAGTAACATGAGTTGAAAGATAAGCTGCTGTCGACTTCTCTACTTGCGAGGAAAGGATTTGAACAGGCTTTGCTGGGGTTGTTATAATTTGGGCTTGACTAGTTGTTGAAGATGATGGCTTTGGTGCAGTTGCCATGGAAGTTTCAATATCCTCATCGTTATACTCGGGGTCTGTTGAGGTGTAACTAAAACTATCTGCCGTAGAATCTTCATCGTCTTGTTTCGCATCATCTTTGTTGTCCTCCTCGATGTCGTCGTCTTCCTTGCCGTCATCATCACCCTCATAATCGTAATCTTTGGCTACTATACTGGACGAAGTCAGGTATGGAGTGAAGTCATAGCCTTTAGGCTGTGGTTCCTGGTCCAAAGAATCCTGCTGGTTCTTTGCAACGGCAAGAAGTCGAAGTAACTCACTGTTAGGAAATTCAACATTCGGACCTAATGCACCAAGTTCAGAAGCGGGTGGCTTGAAGAGGGGTTGACCTGCTTGGGCCCAAGATGTGCTTCCACCCAGAGGTGGGATGGTCTCCAATTGTCCAAACTGAAATGGTCCAGTTGGTTGCTGCCAAAACAGTTTCTGCTCAGGAATTTCTGAATTGCCAGTTGATACACTAAATGGAAGCGAAGACTGAGACTGACTCTGTACAAGTTGGGTGTGTGTGGACACAATCGAGGTGACATGACCTTCCCCCTCTCTTGGAGCGTCGAAGTCAAAAATAGGAGAGTTACCTGTGCCAAAAGAACCAAATGAAATGGCCGGACCACCTTGTTCTGGGGAACCACCACCGAACACAGATGACCCGACAGGTGTAGTGTCTATAGCTTTTTGTGTATCTGAGAAGGAGAAGGGGGCGGATTCGGTTGAAGACACGGTTCCAAAGTTAAATGGGGATGGCCTCGACTTGTCCATGGCAGGAACACCAAAAGATGCTAGAACAAAAGGTTGAGTTGATGACGGGTAGGTAGTAAAGGGAGATCCAGAGGATACTTCAGGCACTTGAGTGGCTGTCAAGGTGTCTCCTTGTGCTGCTGTTTTTTTACTATCTGCAGAGAGTGGGGCTCCAAATGAAAATGACTTTGATGCTGCTGTAGATGTACTGGAGGATGCTGTAGAGAAGGCAAAGGTAAATGGAGAGCTACTCGGGGATCCTGCATCCTTTTGTTTAAATACAAAAGGGCTTCCTGAAGAAGAATTTTCATGGCAGCTTGACAACATGCTTGTCTGTGGTGAACTGCTAGCAGTGAACTCTTTTGGTAAGTGAAATCCAGTCTTCAGTGGTGACTGATGAGTAGACGTTCCAGATCCTTCTGACAGCTTTTGAGCTCCACACGCCACACAGACAGTTGTGCTCACGTCGTTTGTCACCCAGCAAACAGAGCAAGACCATGAACCCGGCTTTGGAGCAAACTTAGTCACAAGTTCAGCACTTGGATTGTATGAAACGGCTGTTATTGCTTGGCTCTTGACATCTTTCTTTGGCATCTCCTGACACTCCTCGAACTTTTCCTTAAAAAGCAAGAATTCATCTGGTGTCTTGAATTTGACAGCTAACTGCTCTGCCCTTGCAACCTCTTCTGAGAAATCTGCCAAAGTGCTCCATATCCAACAGTTGGCTGTGGCTTTCTTTTCTTCTAACTTCATATCGGCTGTAATAACGTGATTGGCACACACCTTGTGAACACCTTCACGTCTCATCAAGATTCGACTGCGTCCCTTCTCAGAATTATGCAGGATCTTCATAGTTCCAATGCCACGTTCTTTCCAGGCTGAAACATCCTTGTCGTATCGATACAACTTGGCTCTGCTGCTGAACATCGTAGTTTCATCTTCTTCTCCAGTTTGGACCTCAATTTGTTCAGGAAGGGGTATGAGGGGTTCAAAATGTATATCTTCAGTATAGGAAGCTGAGGAATCATGCCTCATTCTTCCAGGAGACGTGGGAGAAGGAACTTCCTGTGGAGGCTCTTTCATTCGATTCTCAGGGGTGTTGCTGCTGCCTAAGCCAGCGAAGAAATTGGAATCGATTTTTAGAGGTCCCTTGATGCTGGGGTGAGTGAGAGGCTTTGTACTTATTGAAAGAGGCGTCTGTCTTGTAGCAACGGGAGTGGATTCATATATGGGTTTACTTTGATCCCCTGGGCTCGAATATGAAGGTTCCACGATACTGGAGTAGCCGTAGTGCGATGACTGCAACAAGCTTACCTGATTCTGTAAATTAAGAAAAGAAGAAGGCTAACTTGTATGTAAGGTAACCAACGTTTACATAAGGTCCGACTGAATAACGTCAAAGAAAGTAGCTAGTAAAAATGACTTGCTGGCAACACTTTAATTCTCTGTAAATAAGAAAGCAGTAATTTTGCTTAATTCTTTTGACTTACATTGGAGTATACGCAATTTGCCAAATGCAGAAAGCTAATCTGAATTATGTGAATGAAAGCAACGAGAAACTTTTTTTCACGTTCTAGGCATGTTTATATCAGGTCCGATCAAACTTTGTCAGAGAAATAAGCGTTGCGTGAGTTGCAAAACCTAAAATCAGAAAGGAATAAGTTTATGTCAATTTACGGACTTAATGTCTTTATGTATCACAAGCGTAATAAAGGTACAGCACTAATACAAATCAATTACGTAAAACGTTTCTTCGAGTGAATTTTGGGCAAGACAAACTAGCACATAGTGAGATTAATCAACCTTTAACATGCTGATTTCTTCTTGCATACTGGATATAGTTTCATCTCTAATAGACATCGCTTCATCCCTGATGGCCATCTGCTCCTGGAAATAACCTTTATTCAAGGCAACTTCACTGAGTGTTGCAATAAAATCTTTTGTATTTGGATCTGGTGGTGGCTAACAGGAAAAAAAATGCATTAAATTCAACGAGAGTAGGGAATCTTGGCTAAGGCTGTGACAACATTGGTATTTAATATACTTCTGCACGCGGAATGGCAATCAAAAACAAAATAATACATAAATAGAGTCGAAAATCTCCACAACGACGCTGCGAGAACGGAGCTCAGAGGCAGTTGACTAGCGAGGTGACCCTTCATCAAATAGAGAAAGAGAGAACATGGGCATTGGCGCACCAAGCCCTTTGCACTAAAGACACCATTGTCATCATCATCCTTATCATTTTCACCATGGAAATCGATATATACATGTATATGGATGCACACTACAACCACAACATCATTGCAAATCGTGCCTCTGTACTCCAACCTAACAACTCAATGAATTATAATACTCAACCCAAAATAATACTCAACCCAAAAGTTATCATCAGATTCCTGGGCATCAGAGGCATTGGTGGAGCTCCGACTTTCCAGATAGGTACGTTGGCGAGTATCTCGATGCTGGCCTAAAAAGCATAAACATTTGTCCTAAGGTTTTAGTGAATCTGAAATGGTTTACAACTCTGCGGAATATAATTCTGTAGTCAGTATATTCCACATCATTTCACAATAACTAGAATTTTTTCGACGCACTCAGTGGACGAAAGCTATTGTCTATAAGAGTACAGACAAGCGAAAAGTTGCAATGATGGTAAAAAAGGTAAAGGCGCACACGAGCCAAAGGCCCAAACTGCCGGAGCTTATCCTGGTTTACTTAGCATGAGGCATGCCTAGGAGTACTGTTACTTCCCCCCTGGACGAGATGCTAGTCAATCGCAGGGTTACCCCCCAAAAGTATGTCGCGGTACCCATTTATACACCTGAGTCAAGAGAGACAAAGTGAAGGAAAGTTCCTTGTCTAAGGAAACAACGCGACGGGTAAAGCTTGAACCCCGGACCTCCGGATCTAGAGTTCGAGTTGTTAACCGCTCGGCCACACACGCCTCCACAATGCAATGATGGCGCCATTGTTAATCTGTCTCTAACGCAATTTTTCAAAACGCTTTCCTGGGATAAGACGTTCAAAAGACAAGTGTCAGCGACTTTCTCTACACTCTTATACATAGTAAGACCACGCTTTTTAGAGGTTATTTACCCAGCAGAGGACTAACAATTACCGGGGAAAATTACCTGCCTTCTGCAAAGATTCAAGTCAGAGATTGTTACACATTAAGAGGCCTGTTGCGACCAGGGCCCAGTTGTTCGAAGGCCCATTAGCGCTAACCGAGGGTTAAATTTTAACCCGGGTCTCTCTTCACTTTTTTCTTTTCATCAAAAGTATTTTCTTGGCCAATTTTCTCTAGCCATTCATCAAATTGTAGACAAAAAGAATTAAACTGAATTTGCTTTTTAAGCTTTCATATTTGAATTCAAATTTCCAACTAACACTGGGTTATCTTAGCCCAGCTTTGAACAACCCGGCCCAGCTTTATATACCTGCGTTAAGTCGTGGGAAACCGCTTTTTATGAGCCTCTCAATCTCACTGAGTTCATCTAGAACAGCTTTTCGTCCAACCTTGGATGAAATAGAAGAGGCATTAAAAGGAAACAAATGTAAACTTATTGAACAACAAAAGGTCTGAACAGTTCAACTCAACAACTACCAAGAGATTTCAAAGGAAACGGCAGTATTTCTAATTCGAGCTGTATTAAAACTGAGTGGTTTTTTTTAGACAAACCTTAAGTGTAGGTCCTTTGCTCACTCTTAGATCTTGGCAATTTACTCGGCCATATAGATTTCACTGAACACTTCAAGCTCTTACACTCATAATTTTCTAGCAGACTCCTAGTTTTCAGTAACGACAAAAGCAAAAAATTGTACTGGACATACATCAGAAGATTTTGTCATTTTCAAGTAAGACTGGAGCAGATCTCGAGCTTCATGGAGATTCTGGTAATATTCTTTGGTTGGGCAGACGCTTTCAGTATCTGTCTCTTCGGTGGCCGCACATGCTTCAACATGGGCAAGATACTTGTAAACCTAAACAACAATTGATGTACAACACAATTTTAAGACACCTAACTTTGAAGTCAGTGGACAAAAACTTTATGGTGTGACCATTCAAGAAGAACTTTCGTATTCTGAATTTCATTTTTGAGGGCAAGGGTTTTATCACGTGCAAAATGAACTTTGTTGGGAATAGTTTATAATTCATGCGATATATTCAAATGTCTCATAACGACACCACAAACCTCCCGCCAAGTCCATCTCTGTTGGACATGCAAAGACAGAGGTGTGTATGATGAGGGAGGACTACAAACAGTAAGATTAAAAAAGAGGATGTTTAATCACTCTGAAAGAACTTTTGGCCGAAATTTTTTATGCGCCTTCGCCTTCTGTACTTTACTCCTTTTACTCTGGGTTACGGATTTTTAACTGACGTAAGAATTCGCAATTTACAAAATTATCCCCAAGGTACAGCTGTGTTGATATTACCGTAAGCTCTTACGAGGAACACAGCAGTTAGTACTGTTTGAAGATTACCTGTGCGAGATTGTACATTCCTGGGGGAGTTTTGACCTGCTCAAACATTTCCATGGCGTCGAACAGCTTGCCTTCTTTCATCAACGCTCCACCGATGGCCAGGCGCACTGATTGGAGCTCTGCTCTCACATCATGCTCCTAGCAATAAAAAAGCCAATAACAGACAGGCCTGTTGAATGTGAGGCTTTTTACAGTACAGTACAGGAAGTTCCCAAGAAACTCCGAGTGCTAGCACTAAGGTAGAAATGGGAACAACCAGGGGAAGTGAACAGAAAACTACTAGAGACAACAATATCTGTGTAGGTCAGACAAGGAAATTGTTCCCACCAGACAGGCAGCGATTTATGCTCTGGGCAAGCAACATTAATGAGCTATTTGTCTGAATGACGAATGGAAATTCAAGCCCCGGAATTTCACAATGACGAAGAACGTTGAATCAAAAATAATAACTCAGACCAATTAAAAAAAAAAACGCTCCGGTTTTGTATTTCACTGACCTGTAATGTGTCAAACACGTCAGGAAAGAGGGGCTTATCACAATACGGCATACTCTCATCCCTAAAAAAGGCAGAATTTTATGTTAACAAATATATAAATGAAATTAAAAACAGAGAAAAAGGTCCAGTTTATAACAATTAAAGAAGGAAGAAGAAGAAGACAATAACTTGAAGGTCAGAGTTGAAAATACCGCGCTTTAAATTATTGTCTTCTTTTTAGCATTCATCAGATTAAAGAGTACTGACGAGACAAAGAAGCTGGACTCCCAAACCAGCAACCAAATGAAGATCTGCAGTTAGCCTGCATGCAAGCTCGCCATTTTGAGAACAGTGAAAAGCAATGGGTCATGTGACGTCTTTTATTCGTGCATGACGTTTCAAATATTCAGCTAGAGAGTCAGGCTGTCTGCTGCATATGAGCTACAACGCTTGACAAATTATGCTGGGGCACGTGATGCGTGACAGAGGTCCTGCTTGGGTAAAATTCTGACAAGTAATTTGGCCTCGAAACAGCGACAAAAACAGATGAAATGACGACAAACGACAACAGATGGGTTGAGACTTTAACAGTGACGAAGTTGAGAACAAATATAATAGTAAAATACCGGCAGGGACATGGCTTCCTTCTCAATACAAGAAATGATGGATTTTGAAATTCTGACCAGAATCATCTGCCCCTCTCTAAGAGGGTCTCTTAGTGTCATTGTTATACCAAGTTTAGACGCGGCAATATGCCTCCCAAAAAAAGAAACAAGCCAGCTGTTAGGCTTACATCGAATATGTATCCTTTGTGCTCTAGAATGAGCAACGGTGATGCTAGACAGTTGGGATGCGTAGCTCACACAACCTAGAGTATGACTTAGGATCACCATACTCTCCATTCACGAAGGTAACTGGTTCGAATTTTCTTTCTCACATAATACTATTATATCTGTACATTATACACAGGTGCTGCAGGAGATGGTGTTGGTGCTGGAAGAGGTTGTGGAAGAGTTTCAAACGTGTCAGAAATGCCAAAACACAAGCGTGCAAACAGAGCGGGCGGCAAACTACAGCTATACACAGAAATGTTAAAGAAAATATAACACACAAGATTTAGCATAGTTAGGGGGAGGATGGAAGAACGACAGGAAATTCTTTGATGGAATGCAGACACCTTTGTGTGGTAAAGAATATTTAGGCTATTTAAACAGTCACTCACTTTTCGAACTTTTCCAAAATGGCAAGGGCCTTACGCAGGTAATGCATACCCCATTTTTCAAGACTCTACAAAAACAAAATAGTTTAAATGATACAAAGTTATAAACAGCCCTATATATGGTGCATTAAAACTAGAAAAAGTTAAACAAAGTTGTAACGATTTTCCTATTCATCTATTTCAGCTCTGATAACCTGTGGGGTAGTCTTCTTCAGAGTTAAAGTGAGTTGTATCACATCAGTTAGCCAGCGTAGCAGGTGCTTGGATGTAGTGGGCGAAAGAGAGAACGGGCGCGCGCTAGGGAGACACGCGTGTCTCCTTCTCTCGCGCGCGTTTTTTCTTGTGCCCACTACTTCCAAGTGCCTGCTACACAGGCTAAACACATCAGTGAATAGTATAGTAACGTCGTCTGAAATTTTTTATACATTATTTTGTCATGCACCAAGGCTTTCAAGATGGCGGTTAAACGTGTTCTGCAAGTACTTTGCACGGTCACGGAATTCAAAGAATACGTTTTGGTGACTTTCAAGGAAGAGGGAGAAAGATTACTCAGTTGTTAATCGAGATGTTTACTGGATCGTGATGGGACTTGATGCAATGGCGGACGCACGTGGCCTCACAAGGCTCGGTATCCACACTACCTTTTTTCATTTTGTATTTATTATTAATCGCTGAAACTCCTGAAATCGTTAAAGGCAGATACTTCAATGGTTATGGTTTTGGTATTGGTTTGAGGTCCCGGCCACAGAATGTGTATCGACCTGAGCGCCCTGCTGGTGCGAAGTTATCCTTACGTGGTTCAAACCTTACGAGCGTTACTCGACAATTTCCTCGCGTTCATATGCCCCGAATACGATGGACTAAACATGGTCACCAATGTTTATGGCTGCCTAATGTCTTACTCTACCATGACATTGAATTTAATCCAGGTCCGACGGAGAGGAGACCAAAATGTGTTACGTGTAATATGGCAGTACGAAGAAACCAGGCGGCCATTATGTGCAGCAACTGTGCTTCTTGCTTCCATGCGAAATGCACAGGTCTATCAAAGGACGTTCTCAATAATATCTACAACTCCTTCGATACATGGTTCTGCCTGACCTGTAGTTTACCACCTTTCTCGGACTCATTCTTTGATTCTTCGATTTCATCGATTAATGATTCAATTGCGAACAATTCTTTGGTTATGAATAACAACGAAGACCCTGATATTTGGAAAATGCTGAGCCAACACTCAGCCAAACATTGTGTCATTGGAAGCTATAACATAAACAGTCTGGGAAACAAGTTCAGTGAGGTGATGGAATGGATACAAGCCTTTGATATATTGACCATACAGGAAACCAAGTTGGATAAATCGTTCCCTGACTCACAATTTGCAATAGATGGTTATAACATGTTTCGTCGAGATCGGAAGAAAGGTGGTGGAGGAATTATGGTATACATTCGTAATTCCATTCCCTCCCACCGCATCAGAGTTAAATCCAACGAGGTGGAAGCGATCCTTTTAGACATTCAACTGGGTCAGCAATACATGTCTTTATTATGTGCCTATAAACCA